AATAAAAAAAAACAAATTCCGTCATTCGTACAAGAAACAAAGAATTTTATGTTGAAGATATGTGATACACGTTACCCATGTAAATAATTAGCTAATAAGTGATTATTCGTAACTCATGTAAAATTTTACTGCTAATTACCTTCCTGATGAAAAATTGCGGCCATAAAGTTACCTTTGGCAATAAATTTTAAATGTTAATAAATCCATTGAATATAAAAACTTTTATTGTTAAAAAATACTGCGAATTGTATCGTTCAAACCATCGTGTGGAATTGTAAATATAAATATGTTTCTAGTAATGAAGAAAATACATACAGAAACTAATTGGGTCATTTCTCACATTACAGAAAAATTGTAATGTCTATATTATTTTATGTTAAATATGTATATCATGAGATGTGTACTGTCAATAACAATAGTGAAAATATGTGAGAAAATTTATATTTCCATGATGACCTTAACCATACAGGGTGGCCATTTTCATACGTCTAATGCTTAGCAAGATCAAGAATGCAATAAACTTGACAGTCGTTAGAAACATTATTTTGTTGCACTAATAATAGTGTGGTCCATTAAGGATGAACATTTTTTTATTGGATTTTCTAGATATAACTGTTAAAATAATAACCATGACAGCCCCAATTTTTTAAAGCGATCTTTCAGAAAATCAAATTTCTTGAATTTTAATTCAGAATAATGTGTTCCTACAGGGTTTAGTTGAGTTAAAAAAAACTAGAACAAATTGGAGATGCCTGAAGATGAAAAGTTGATGATAAAGTATGATTAACCTTCTAAACTACAACCAGACTATACTCTTATGAAGATAATCCAAGTCAGAATTGCTTCATCACATCAGGTTTTAGAGATATCCTAATCTAAAAGTACAAAAACATGTTTTTTTGCTATATTTGAAGTTATGTTTTCTTCACAAAACTCGTTATGGCAGCTGAAAATACTACCCTTTTTCAAAATCCATTTTGAATCTTTGGAATATCCTTTTATTTCTCCGAGGAATCGTTTGTTGTTTCATGAAATAGATTAGTTTGAATTGTTCGAATATCTTCTTTCCTCTCTAAGAGATTGCCTGTTTGCCGTATTCGTAGTTATTCAGAAATTAAGTAGCATCAGATGAAAATTCAAAAAGAGAGAAGATCAAATTACAAACACCTAAATTCCCATTGGTTCAGGTTTTCGAAGTGGTTGATTATGAATTTGAAGTCAGAATTACAAAATTCAAAATGACATTTCTTGTAACCGCCATTTTGAGTTCTGCAATTGTGACTTCTGATTCGTAATCAGCGACCATGAAAACTCGAAGAACCAGTGGGAATTTAGGTAGTTGTAATTATATTCTTCTCTCTTTTCAACTCACTTCACTTCACCTGATGCTACTCAATTTCCTAATATTGAACCTAAAATTGGTTAATTTTCATCTTCAGACAGTTGTAATGCCTCCTAGATTTTAAAACTGAAACAGAAGCTTAATAAATTTAAAACTTTAAATGTTTAAAAAAATATTTTGCAGTATAAAGTGATGAAATTTAAGATGCAAGGATGTAAATAATGCCGAGTAAGGCTAAGTAGCCTTTTTTTTTATAAAAAACTAGTGATTTTCCGAAAAATCGCTTTTAAAATCGCTAAAAAAATTGCAGTAGGTTATGGATTGCCATCTAGATCATCGTAGTTGATTCAAAAAGTACATCTAGAAGTTTGCACGACATAAAAAAAATCATTCCAAAAAATCATCCCAAAAAATTTTTAGAAGGATGTTTTAGTTCTTATTAGTCCACACTGTATATGTATTTTGCAAAACATGCTGGAAAATAAAATTGCTGACACAATAATTATTTCAGAAGTATTGCATTGACCTAGAGAGTATACAACTTTGTTGACTGTTTTTCATTTTATAAATTCTGCACTAATACTTTTCATTAATAAAATACCGCAAAATGCTGGTTCATTTAGTGGTTATAAATAGAACAATACATTTGCAATTTTCTGCTGTAGTTGATAATGTTTCTGTTAGTTTTATCTTATTTATAGGTTGCATTTATTTTGAAACTCTTTTTCAACGTAAAAAAATACAGAATTTGTTGTAACCGCATCGCAGATACCTACGTAAATTTCAGTTCCATTTATGAAGAAAAATAATGTTAATGAAACATTTACAGTACAACAATAATTGTTGCAAAATTACTTAATTGTTTCCTCTAGAAGGTATTCCAAGAAAATAACATGTTCTCTGAACGAGATAAACATTTCATAAGATTTGCATCATCACTAACAAGATCATTGTAAAAAGAGGTGACATTGTTACAAATATTTTCACGGTTCTATTATAAACTAAACCAAACAGCTATTATTTAAATTATTCCTGTCACAAAATACAATAGTGGTACCGCATTGAATGCGTTCCGTGAAGGAAATAAATGGTACCTGACTTCCATTTATCTCCTTTCAAATTGAAAGATACAGATTACTAATGAGACATTTCTTAGGCAATTCCAACTTGACCAATCTCTAAAGGCTTTGACTTGTTATTTGTTTGTGAAGAGAAAGAATCACTTTCTATAACGATTTATGTTTTCATAAAATTTCATCTGATCACAGTTGGTAAATATGTATTATTTTTTATCTATTCGAAAATATAGCGTTTTCTAGTCTTTGAACTCATCATAAGATGTCCACTTCTTAGAGATGAAGTTTTGGTGGTAAAAGGAGATTGTGAATCTACCGGGAGTCCCAGAAAAAATTGTCATACTGCAAATATGAATGCGTCAAGCAAAGATAATTCCTTAGTCGATAAAAATAATTTTCAAATACTTTATATTTTGTATCAGTAGCGCATGTAAACATTTTTGCCTTTATGGATTTTTTATGTAAAACAGCTTGATTTCTGAATCGATTTCACAAAAAATTGCTTCATGTTAATTTCTCTTACAGTTGCTAGCGAGGAAACGAGTAAGCGAAGAAGAAAAAAATTAATATACCAAATGAGTTCATTTAAAAGCAAAAACTGGCTGGTCCCAAAAGATATTTTCCTAACCTTTTCAGACTTATATAGTGGGTTCATATACTTAAAGAAACAAAAAAGTCTAGAAATATCGTTGCTAAAATCTTTGAATCAAATAATATATGTTGATTTTCAGATATTAATGAAAAATGCGTTACAAAATCATTTTTAAATCCAGCCCTTTTAATAACTTATAATCAGTTGTTTATGCCTGATGAGTTCGTAGAATGATATGACCACTGTTTTCTGTGACATATATATATAGTGTTCTTTTTCATTTAAAACTAACATTTTTGAACATATAGTGTAATTAAAAGGCTTGGCGAAACTTTTTTGGGAATTCTACGTCACAAGTTAATAAATTAGTTAGTTAGTTAGTTAATAGTTAATATTCCAATAAATAAATATGTGTTTAAAAATAAAAAAATATAGGTATAGTTTATTTAAGTTACAAAAGAGTATTGATCGACCTTAAACAATACTTTATTCCATTGGTAAAAACATAAGTACTTGCGTAATTATTATTTTTATTATTATGGTTATTTATATAGTGTGTCCCCGGATAGATGTAACGACTCTCCTAAAGGTTAAAAGATAAAAAACTTTCGATTTAAATGTTCATTTTTGGGGGTGCAGTCCTGCTTGGTTAAAGACTAATTTCTAACATAATTTCAGTTTTGAAAAATCAAGTGTGTTAGAATTTTTCAAAAAACCTGTTTTTCTGTAGAGTAAAGATACTTTTATATGCCAAATACGACAAAAAGTTTATTAAGAAAAGTTGTTTAGAATCAACAGCTAGGTCTCTACACCAAATTTCAAAATCTTCGGCCAACTATGGTTTTTAATTTTTTTTTTATTTTTTTCCAAAATGGTAGCAGGCGCATCAAAAAGTTATTATAAAAAGTTTTCTGGAACCAAAATCTAGGTCCGTATCCCAAATTTAAAAATGATCTCTCACATTTCCTTTTACATCCCAAATCAAAGAATTTCATTTTTAACAAAGACTGACATGCTAAAAACAAAATTGTATCCAAAACAATATTAACCTGTCACAATTCAAACACTACTTTATTAAACTTAAATACACGTTTATGGTGTACTAAAAATTAAAGTTGCGAGACAAATTTGAATGAAATTGCTAAAACCATTTTTTTTAATATAAAAAAAGATCTCTAAGAAATTTATTGTATTTTAAATATCCGTAATAAAATATTACATCTTCCACTCATTTTCTTTATTATTATTTTTTAAATGTTGCTTCAGTAAGAATATAATCCTAGGATTAAAATTATTCGCATCTATCATCAATTAGGATTGTAAGTTAAGTTTGGATTAATTTCATCATATAAAAGGTTTTAATCAAAACCTAATCTAAGATGCCACAACTTCACATATAAAACTGGATTTTGAAGAAACTCTGCATTTCAATAACATGTTTTACGTGTAGGTTACAAAATAGTTTTAACTAAATTGTTTATTATTAATTTCTTGCAGAGATAATTTTCGAAAGAATGAATAATCACATTTTTAAATTTAAAACTTGAAAGTAGAGTAAGTAAAAAAATATTATTCATATAAGTTCTTAGTAATATAGTTATTTACCTGAACTCTAAAGTATACATAGTTATATCTTCAGGATTACTTTATATGTGTATTGTTAAGAAAATATTTATTTAGTTTATGTTTCGAAGTTATTTTTATAGATCTAAATTCTTTCAGGGCTTCAAAATGCTGCGTCATACTTTTTTACGTCTTTTGAAAAAGATACACTACACAGTTACAGAGAAAATGCTTGTAATACATCTATTTTCAGGTTAATTAAACATTATATCAGTTTAGTGTTCAAGTTTTTTAAAAAAGTATATTTTCGTCGTTGGAAAACTAGTTTCTGCACACATCTTTTCGGAATAGGAAAATATGATATAATTCTGAGCGTTGTTAACTTCAAAATTAGTCGACGATGACGAACAAAGACCCTATAATTTACCTTTTTCTCTTGATCCCATGCGCCAACACATAACAAACCCCTGAAATGATCCCCGCGAGCACACTGACCCCCAGTCCAGTGGACACAGCGAAAGACACCACATCCGAAGGCATCTTGAACCACTTTCCACCCCCGACCACACAGATCTTCCTCAGAAAATCACATCTCACCACACAACGTCCCATAAAAGCAAAATAACCGCGATTTTGACTTCTCCCTCGAGCGGTCACTGTCGATATTCGATGGTCAAGAAGAATCTCAAGAGCAAGATGCTATCTACCCCACTTTCACGTGTCGCTCGGGGCGTCGAGATGGTCTTCTGCTCCTCGATGCCGATCACGAGGTAAATAATTGTGCGATCGCCTTACGTAGATCGGCCTTGCGTAGGTAAACACCGCGTTTCGCGTCGGAAATTTTAAGATTGCGGCTGTCTCGCGGCTTTCCGACTGCGAGAAAGTGCTTCAAGTAGTGCGCTTTGCGCCTTACTTGGAGCTATCTTGCAATTCCGTACCCAAAACGGTGCGGTTTACTTTCTAAGGTGCGCCCCAAATGGGGAGTTAAGAACTTTTTAGAAAAATATGGCTTCATTGGAATTTGCAGCCTTTTCTTATTTCCTCAATTCTTTTTATGCGGGGTGTTTCGAGATTAATTACTCGAACTTAAAATTTTAATTCGAGTAACCGTTATAACAAAAAGTCCAATGGCCGGAAATCAAGAATTATTACGCAAAACTTAGGCCGACGCTGCATCACCCCACTTAATCAACTGTTTACAACGCCGTAACTAGATCAAGAACAGCGTGGTTATTTGCTCGGAGCGTGCGCGGACGTGTCTCGCTTACTTTCGTAGAGTGTAGATTCATGTACGTTGTTTTATTTCAAAATGCCTTCAAATCAAGAATTAGCGGATAAGTATTAATGTACGGAGAGTGCCAACATGATTTAAATATGACTTGTCGTTTATATGCGAATCATTTCCAGTGAAAAACGGTGTTCAAAGACTGTGGGACACCGGTAAAATGAACCCAACGTATAACGGTCATGAACAAGAAAGACCACAATAATTTATATAGGGAGGTAGACATTTCACACCTTGTCGAAGAAAACCTGAACCCCAGTACCCGCGACATTGCACTTGTGCGGGCTTTGACTAGATGATATTCAGCCGCGTGTAGAATGTTGTTGTTGGTTTCGGTAGCAAGTGACACAACAACCAAATTATACAAACACAGTGCTCTTCACAGACGAATGCAACTTTACAATAGACGAAATACTAAATTTTCATAACACTCACTAGTCTCACTACAGACTTGGTGCTAATCGTCACGCGTTGTACAAAATTCAGGTTTCCAGCAGCGATTTTCAGTAAATGTGTTTTGTAAACTTTTGTATTTGGAGTTTCTAACAAATAACGCTAGTTCTTTCACACCCTCTATAGTTTGGCTTTGAAATATTAAAAAAATAATAATGAAAATTCTATAATTATGTGTACACATATGATTGTGCATGATAATGTTTTCTCTGATGAGAGACCATTATCATTTCTTTTATTATAACTTGCAGCCCAGTATACGTCTGTTTATTAACTGAGAGTATTATTAACAATTTAATGAAACAATTTGTAAACCAGTGACAATCTTGTGATAACATTCTTGCACCCAAGCTTTTTTCTTAAATTTCTTTTATCGAGATTAACAGTAAAGTATCGACTTTCTTGCATCACTTGGTAGCGCTGCCGCATTTATAAAGTGCGTTTCTACTAAGTCATTAACTTTCCACCCGTATATATGGAATTATTTGGAGCAACATTCGGTGGTTCTTGAACCAATAGGGAATAGAAAGAATTAGGACAAAATAAGATGAATGGATCGAATTGCTTTTCGATGTAATGATTTTCAGTAAATACAAAGTTTAATTATTCTGTGTTTCAGATTTAACGACCTTATAATCAAATGTCGTAAATTTTACCAAACGGCCTTATCGAATAGATATTAAATGAAAACTATCTATTAGAGAGGTTTCAGTCATTATTCTTCCTTGAGTTACAGTTTCTTTAAATTAATAATAATAACTAATCCCATCCATAAAAAATATTGATTGAATATTTGTCTAGATATTCCTTTAGAGAAATTATACATCATTACTGAAGAATTTGTTTGTTTTAATTAAAATTCATACGTTTATAATAAATTCCTCTCACTTTATACGAATATCTTCACTGACACAAATTTAGATAGATTTAATCTAGATATGTAAAAGACTTATTTTATAACACCGAAAAATATTTTGATTACTGAGCCTTCTTCCTCTTAGGAATAATTTATGGTCATATTAAAAATAATACATTTATTAAATGGAAGAACATTTGGTTAATTAAGAAAGGACGTATTTTAGAAAAAGCTAAATAGTTAATTATAGTTTGTGGCATTTTATACGATATTTAAAGTTAATAAATGTAATTGAAACGTAAAAAATATATATAATTAGTAAATGAATGTTATTTTACAACCATCAGTGTTCAGAAATCGAAATTGCTATACCTATGTATACCTTAATATGCTCTTAATTTTTTAATATAAATAGGTACTCACAAGAAAAATTTTCGCATGGAGCTTCGGTTTTCCCTCTCATCTAGTTCATCGTGTTGAAAAAAATCTGCAAAATTTATTATAAAGTGTCGAATAAACTCGATGAAACTGATATGAGCAGCTGAATAATATAAAGAGGAAATCTACAATGCGCTAAATGGCTTTATTTGTCAAACTCATTGCCTTTATTGAGATTATTATCTTTGCGTATTAATATTATAGGGATATTAATTTCATATAGCCTCGATTCATATGAAATACAGCCAGATATAAGTAGGCACCCAATAAAAATATTAAATATCGATTAGTGGCCTATAATTTTCTGTTAGTTTATTTTCAATGAAATATCAACGTTTATTAAATTTCAACCTCAATGATTTTACTTCAAAAAATATCTTATACATGTAATTGAATCTAAACTATCTTTTTAAAAATTTAATATTTTTCTATTTATTCGCGATTTACTTTACATTATTATGTAATCAAGCCAAGACTTCGTTCCTTACCACTGCATGACGGCTGATAGTTCATTATAGTATGCTTCTAAAGAAAACTACCACAAAAACTACACATAGGTACTGTCTACCTCAGAAATAATACTGGTAAAGACGTTCAACTTTGAAAATACATAAATGCAATAGGAAACAAATCTCGAAAACGTGACTTCCTGTCACAGGTTTATTGTTATATGGACACCTGGGTTTATTTATAAAATAAAATACTGACCACAGTATCACTTTAGGATGACCAGAGAATCGCACTCCAAACGTTTTTAAAGATTTATTTGACCAAACGCCACAAATTTGCTTTTATAAAAGAGGTAGGTAACAATTATTTTAAACTTCTATTATATATCTTATTTGTTTTGTCCATGACTGTAAGTGGACAAATATAGGTATTGATTATTTTTAAAAATATAGGAATTCATATCAAAAGACAAAAAAGGCTGGTTAGATATAATGAATACAATCATATCGATATAACTGTTTTTTTTTTTATATAGAAATAGAAACAGATAGGTACATTGATATAATTAAATCGAGAAAGGTGACCGCACAACTTGATTTTAATGTTATATTTATATATTCGGCCTATTAATATTTGCAGCGTTTAACAATAACAATAATCCAAAATAAAGATTTCCATTTAAAAAATTTGCTACCTGCCATCTATTGGGCAAGGGCATATAAAAACAAATATCTGACAATTTATTGAATTAGGGACAGAGGGCGCCACATGGTTATTGATTATTGCAGAAGTTTATGTCTCAAATTGTGCTCGATTAATAAAACATTAGGATTCGTCGAATAAATTTGTCATGAGTTAGAAATGTGATCATAAATTTGCAGTGACGTCTATCAATTAAAGAGTGTAACAACAAAGGATTGTTTACGTCGTTGGAAAATTAATTAAATAACCTAACATGTCTGCTACCCCTCCATTGACGGTCACTTTTTTGCCAATAATTTGTTAACCACACCAGAAGAGAATGAATGATTAAAAAATCGTCGAAAGTAAGTACGAAACGAAATACCGCGTATGCTCAGAATTCTCTACTCTAGGTGCTTCCCACCCCACAAGTATTTAATAATGTTCAGCATATTTTGAAATAACAATTTTTTTAAAATGGGAGGCTCTGTGAGCCAGGTATTCCAATCGGGGAGCGCTTTGTTATCAAATGGCCATGGACATAAAGTCTCCGAATCGACCAGACAAAAAGTACAAACTATATTTGACGCCCTGCGTGCCAATCCTAAAATTGGAGTTCAAAGATTAGAAGGGCTGTTGCAGCAGATACCCAAGGTAATTTTGATTTAGCCTTCTGCTCACCCATTTTACATTGTAGTCCTGTTTTCATTATATCATTTTAGAATGAGAACATCCTAGCAATCCACGATGACGCAGGGTACAACTTGCTGCAGAAATGTGTGGGTGCCAATAATGTCGAATTAGTTAGGTGGTTGTTGGCCCGACATACTGCTGCAGACGTTAACAGGTTTCCTTGCAGTCTTCCCCTTCACATCGCTTGTCTCAAAGGGTTAGTAAATGTAATTTTTGGCTTTATAACACTTTGGGGCAATTGTTACTACACATTGATGGATTTTTTTTTTTCACTTTAACTGAAACATTCCATAAATAATTTTACGTGACGGTGGTTTATTTTTATGTATATGTAGCAGTTTTAAAAATTATTTTTTTTTTCTGCTTCATAGCCATTGTTTTGTAAATGTCATGTTAAAATTGTATATTTTGACCAATCTTAACCAGAAATTATTGGTGCTTTGGTCTTCCACGTTGTAGATTGTTGTATTTTTTGTAGTTAGTTGGGCAAGGTTGTTCTTTATCGTTAATTTTTCATTGTAGTTGTTCGTGTAATAATAGTTTTTCTGTTTTGTGTTGATTTAGATTATATTTCTTCGGGTTAGGTTAAATTAGGTAAGTTAGGATGAGTAGGATAGGTTGTTAAGTTAGATTAGGTTATGTTCGTTACAATTTTTTATTTATATTTCTATAAAATCTCTTTTAATGTTTCCTTTAACCTTCCTTACATTTTTGTCTATTCTACTTCTTTAATAGTATACTATTGTTGTTCATTTAAAAAATTTGCTGTTTTTGGTTGCCCTAAAGTGTTACAGACCCTATTTTTTTTCTGACAAGTTTTTTCTGTTGACTTAATTTTTAGACATGACGATTGTGTTGAGTTGCTCCTGAAGCATGGGGCAAAGTCTGATGTAGAGGCCAGGATGTGTTGGCCTGGGCCCCACAGTAGCAACTGTGAAGAAAGGGGGAAATATTGTGAGTAGTTTTTAATCGGAAGAAATAAAACATATTTCTAAGAACGTATTCAATCTGTAGCTTCTGCCATTCAGCAAGAAGAGACATGTATCGAGAGAGACAGTAGAGAAAGAGTCCCCAGCAAACTCCAGTCTGCAATCTACTATGCTCTAGACGGGGACCAAGTGAATATTTTAACTATGCTTTCACAACGAGAAGAAGACCCCTGGGTAAGATTTAGAGCATAAAATTGCATTTATTGAGATTACTGTTTATTTTCTCGCGTAGAACGGCATATTTCGTTCAAGAAAACCCCTACTTCATGCGGCCTGTGAGAGAGGTGCCTGGCGGTGCACCCAATTTCTCGTAACGGAGAGATCTGACGAAATACACATCTTAAAAGACGAATATTACCCCATCCACTATGCCGTTCTGCATGACAGCAAATTTTTAGAGTTACTGATAAACGCAGGTGCCGACACGACCGTTAGAACCTGCACGCAGCAAATGACGCTGCTACACGTCGTTCTCCTCGTCGCGCACAAGTCAGCCGAAGACACTATATCAACGATTCGACTTCTGCTCGACCACGGCTGCAAGGAGCTGATAAACACCCCCGATAGTTTAGGGAATACGCCTCTACATGCCCTCATAGTCAGGTACGCCTTGGAGGAAGCCCAGTACGGTTACGACAAGTGGAACAAGTGGGATATCTTGCATTTGGTGCGCTATTTGATCCAATCCGGGGCGAAAACTTCTATAAACCATACGGGGAACTCTGCGGTGGCTTGCGTCTTGCGTCACATACGGGACTGGGACGTCTGTTACGAGTTGTTGCAAATGCTGCTCACAGAGGGCGATCCTAATATGGTGGGGAGGGACGGTTCGGTGCCTTTAATGGTCTGTTTGGTACCCTTGATCAACAAAGATCCACTGCATCATTTTACACACAGTATGAAGGTAAAGAGATTACACAGGGTGTATACCAATATACCGGGTGGCTCATTTTAATCGATGCACCCGAATATCTCTGTTGCTAAGCCGAATAAAAAAAAAATGTTCAGACAAATGTTATTCAGGATAAAGGGGGTCACCTAACTGCAATAATAACTTTGACCTTGGTGTCAATTTTCAAGGTTATTTGAAGGTCAAAGGTATTTTTTTTAAGGGGAAACCCTATTTTTCACTCCGGATTCGGGAAGAGCGGGAAATTTTACGTTCAGAATGGTAGTTTAACAATTTTAGAGTGACCTTGAAAAGGTCAAATCAAGATTAAGAACAGAAGTGAAATTTTTTATTTAATAAAATTGCTTCTAAATGATTTTCATAATTGACATTACGGTCAAAATGGTCAGTCGTTGGCCCCTAAGCCTACTAAACCACCAAGTATTAAAAAAAACAGCTTCTGGACGAATTTTCAATATTTGACCTTGATTTGACTTTTTCAAGATCACTAAAAATTGTTAAACTACCATTCAGGACGTAAAATTTCGCGCTCTTTCCGAATCCGTTGTCAAAAATAGGGTTTCCCATTTATAAAAATACCTTTGACCTTCAAATGACCTCCAAATTGACACCAAGGTCAAAGTTATTATTGCCCCCTTTGTCCTGAATAACTTTTGTTTGACTTTTTTTTTATTCGATTTAGCAACAGAGATATTCGGGTGCGTCGATTAAAATAAGACACTCAGTAGAAAACTGGGAATTCGGGGAGATGCAATTGTGGAGGAAAATGTTTTAAACAAAATTTGTAGTGTTTTGAATGACAGATTCGGTGGTGACTTTTGATTTAACCTTGACTATAAGTTGCAAGGTCAAGCCAAGATCAACTCATAATCTAATATAATATGCTGATTTTTATGCCAGCAGTCAATATGGTGCTGAACAATTCCATCCATCATTCAATCTTGTTCAGTTATTTAGAGAAAAATGACTTCTAAATAACCTGCAACGATACACTAGAAAACTTTTCTGATCCCAGATTTGGACGTAAATTTTGACACTTTATCGATTGGTGTCATAAAAAAATTAAGATATTCCATGTAATATTTTCAAGTTGACCTTGATTGACCTTCAGGTTTACGTCAAGGTCAAATTCAAGATCACCAGGCATAATCATTCTTTGTTAAATATTTTCATGGAGATAATGTTAAAAAATGAAAAATTTGTCAAATCCATCTGGAAAGCTGAATTTATCAGAATTTTTTGGCCAAAACTTGGTATACACCTCTATTACAGGAATTCGACTGTACCATCTTTCACACGTTCCGTCGTGTTACAGGTCTGTTACTTAAACTGCATAAGAATCCTCCTGGAAAAGGGTGCGAATCCGAACTGTAGCTACAGGGCGAACCTCACCCCTTTACACGTCCTGGTGTTTACCGTGTCGGAGAACATAACCCTGAACTGTGACATACAGAAAGAATTGAACTTCGAGTTCATCAAGAACTTACTCATACTTCTCCTGATGCACGGTCTGGATCCCAATGTCCGGGTCAGCATACGCACCCAGCACATCCTGCAGTCGTGCATGGACATGATCCAGAACGTGCGCGAATGTAAAGACATCCACTACGTGTACGACCTTACGCTTACTCTCATCCAATACGGCGCGAATCCGGATCTGAGCCTGAATATGTCGGAAGCAATAAAGAATCACCCGTTACACTCGCAGAGCATCTGGAAGACGAAGAACTACATACTGTACTACTACATAATGCTGATTTCGAGGAAGGAGAACTTAATCACCGATCCGAACATAAGTTTTGCGAAAATCATAATGTTGTTCTATCACGTGATGCAGCACAAGCCGCTCTTCGAGTGTCTGAAGATCTTGCATACTCAGCAGTTGAGTTTAGTCCCGGGTAAGATGACCGACCCGCTGACTTTCATCATTCGGGATCTTTACAAACGGCCCAGAACTCTCAAGCAGATCTGCCGTGTTAAAATCCACAACTGTCTGGATCGGAGACCAGGGCTCTATATCAACAAGCTGAACCTACCGAATCAGTTGAAGGACTATTTGTTAAACTTTCAGCCGTGAGTGTGACGGTGTGCATGATTTCTGAATGGGTTTGGAATTATTTCAGATGTGGAGCGTTTAGATATTTTACAACGAAAGAATAAGGTTTTGCTAAACTTAGTTCGTTTTATTCTAATAGGGCGTTAACGAAAAATATGTGAAATTTTAAATTTGCAGGGTGTAACTTTGATTAGGGGTCATATTTATATGAAGGCTACGTTTGGCATTTGCTTTGTTTTCTCTAATTCTGTTGTGAAAATTTGAAAATTTCAGTCTATTTTTTAAACTTATTTTCATAATTTTCATACCCCGCTGCTGGACAGGCTAACGTAACCTCAAATAACAGCATGCGCATTGTTGTCGAATCATATCACAGAAATTTAACAATGAAGATACATAAACACATTATACTGAAAAACTATTACCTCATGAAGAAAATCGTGACATTACAAACATCGATAAGATGAAAACTACCAGAATTAACGTTGTCTTTGTTGTTTGCCCACTTAGTGATCTGTTGTCATATCACATCAGGTGGATTATTATGTAGTTCACCCAAACTGGGTTAGTATCAAATAATCGTTGAGTCTGAGATTCACAAACTAAACACGGTGCTTCAAATCTGTAAATTAGTAATTTAATTTATTTTTATTACATAAATTTTATAAAACATCCAAATTAGTTATTTTTAAACATAAATCAGTTTTTGCATGACCACTCATTAGTTTAATCAACCATGGAAAAAATAAAAAAAATTTTAATCATTGGCATTAAAAAAATATGGTGACTTTAAAATATGTCGCAAGAGCAATCTATTTTTATGAATTAATTTTCCATTGCAATTTCGTTCTCTGCCATTCCGTTATTGTTATACAGTAGATATAAAAAGGTAACTACAGGCTACACCGATAAGCGTGCACATGCATCAAAGTTCGAGAGCTGTTTAGTGACGGCGTAGACAAAGATTTAAGTGTAGTTTAAAAAACTGATTATAACTCGTCTATTTATGATTTAAAAAAAATGATTTCAGATTAGATTCTGGGGAACACCTATAATTACCCCCAAAAATGATTCCCCCTACTTAAAGTTACATCCATTATACCACCCCTGCCACAACTTTTTCTTAAAAATATAATTCGTAGCAGATTTCTTGACCACAAAAACATTTGCAGGCAATAAAATTTGATATTAGCAGTGTCTCATATTAACGTAAGATTCACCTCTATCTGTATGGAAGCGGGGGAGGTGTATTATTATTTCGAAGGACGTGAAATCATTGCGTCTTGGCGTCTTATTATATTGTGCCTAATTAGATTATGATCTATTCTGATTTTTTACAATTCTCTTCTTTAAAAAGTGGAATCGAGTTTAAAAGAAAACGTCTTATGAATCATAGAAAGTTTCTGAAATACTTCTAAAACGAATTTAAAAATAAACATTTACGACTTTCTCTAAATATATTCATTTTAAGTTTTTAATGTGACGTGGTCCTCTCTAGGAATTTCTTTCAAATACTGAGGCGTAATTTATTCAAAGTCCAAAGTACCATTTTCTATAAAAATATCGGTATAAAGTGTTTGAGAATTTGTTAGGGCTCTCGTAAATGTTTAAAATTAATGTGTTACTGTTACATTTTCAGAAATTTTAAATTTAGCCAAGTATTATTAAGAATCTGAAAGAAATTTATATTTAAAAAACTCAAAATCCCGGGAATGAGTAAGGAAAGACAATTTTTTTATTTTTCTATAAACCTGTTATTAATTCTATCCAATAGTCTATTTTTTCGTGTCGTAAAAAGGTAAGTGAATTTGCTGTACTCCCTGTATAGAATGAAGGATATTTTTAAAAAATGACAATATCTTTCTCTACTCATTCCTACATCTTATTACGCTTCTGAGCTGTGTTCGTGTTGAACAGGGTTTTGTGCAGATTAGGTATCAACAAGAAAACTTAGAAATCGTTTGAAATAATTATAAAAGTGCCTCATTTTATTTTTCACATTTTACACTATTTAGTGACTTCTACATTAAAGTATAGGCTATAAATAATTATTTAGTATAGTCAAAAATGCAATTCAATTTGATGAATGGTTTTAAATAGAGGGTGTTGCAACATACCATTGACAAATTTTTGCATCAAAAATTTAAAAAATCATATGGAGGTAGATCTGCAAACGCTCCGATTTTGAGATACAGAATGACAAAGTTTTATTTTACACTTTTTTTAAATATATTCAAACTGGGTGCATTCAATAATTTTTTGAAAACTGATGGAATTCAAATTTTGTCATTTTGACTTCAGTTTATCCTTTAATTTTTCGCTCGTAATTTTATTTTGTATTTTATCACTTTGGCTCTAAGTAAAATTTTGACGTAGTTTCAAATCTGGTGATCCATTTTGTTTTAGATTTTATTAGCTTCCATATTTCTACTTTACTATAAAGGTGAGCTAATTCAAGCAAATTTAAAAAACTCATTTCAGAATGCCTTTTCGTTCTATTAATATTTACTAATTTTATTTGCAAGGCCACCTGAATTTATCTGGTAATTCAACATGTAAAACAAGTGGAAATACACAGGACATAGTACAAAGAAAGCGTTTGTGGGCCCACCTCCATACCTTTTCTTTAGAGACCCACCTGTGTAATTTTGTTGAACTTTTGTTGATTGATTTTTTAAAATGTCCAAACAACTGGAAAATTTAAAGTTCTTGTTCTTAGAATTTGCGCCGTTAAAGGCAGTTGGAATTATGTCATCAAATATATTTTTTATTGCTGTTTTATTTTACATATACTATTTTAAATACCTTCCTATTTGTTAACGAACATAATGTAGATTTAAAAATTTAAAGAAATTTTAAGAAAATAAGCAACATAGTAGTAATATGCATATTATTCTAGGCCCTAATTCAGTGTTGTAAATAAGGAAGTAATAAATAATATATAATATATCTGAAAATGTGTAGAAAAGCAAATAGTTTCAAATTTTAAAAAAATCATATTCACAAATATAGCTGAAAAGTTGTTTCTTGATTATTTTTTGTTGCACAAATTTTATAATATAGTTTCTATATATTTTCCCATGGTATTTTTAAACAAAAAAATGTATGTTTTATGTACTTTCTTTTACATTATTTATTGAATTCCATTAAAAGAAAAAATTGTAAGAGGATACTATTTTACCTATGCATATCAGAAGTGGGCAATACTGCCTCTTACGTTAGTTAAAAATCATTAAACATATTTTTCGTATTACTATCCTTTTTAATGTTTCAGTCATTTTCAAATGTTTATGCCCATTTTTGCTTATTAGAATTGTGAGTGTGTATAAATTAAGAAAAAATTGCATTGGTACGATATTTAATTTTCTAAAACATTTTTTAAGTGATTAAAAAATCTGTCAAAGTCCTAAGGTTAACAAAATATCAGCTCTATAAAATTTATAATAAACTTAAGTATGCCAAATATTACATAAGATGAAATTGTATAGTCTATTTTACGTTAAGGTTAAAATATTATGTGATTATTGTTGAGGCATATTGGTATCAATATTTGGATAAAAATATTTAATATAAAACTATCTATTTAAACGTTCTTTATTTCTGTCCTACTTTGAGACACCTTACATTTTCCGAAACTTAGGTAGGTACATTAAAAAGGTAGGTTCATTAAATACTAATACTAAACCGTTAAGTACCTAATAATTTCTGAATATAATTTTATAGAGTGTAACTAAAATATCAAATCAAACTTCAATGGTTATAAATGTGTACTATGTAATTCATGTAGTATTCTAACAAAGTTTTTTGATTATGAACACTTCCCGTGTTTATATAATTTACGTATACGTACCTACTCTTCTATAACTTTTCATTAAAAATTGTTACATGTAAATATATTTTCAATAATACTCGTAATTTTACCTATCTCGGCAGGTAGTATTTTTGAGGCTAATAAATGATAATTTAAAGTAAACAAAATTGTGAATATGTGAATTGATCGTTAATATCAGTATTTTTCAAATGATTTGCTGATATTATAACTGAATTTATGAACTCATATTTAAAATCATTATTTTTACTTTAAAAATTATTTCGGTTATTTGTCACAGAAATATTAAGTACTTACAAGACACCCTGTATAATAAAAGCGAAATGACCCCGTCATTTATCATCAAGAACGGCCTGCCATTGAAGGCCTTTTTAGTTCACCCTGACTGTCGGTAGGTGCGCTACGGTTCTGCTTCTCTCTTTTTTTTAGGAGCTCAATTCCGTTTTCGTATATTATTATGTTTTGTGTGGGTAGCTCTTCGTCATAAATATACATTTTTTTAAAATTAAAAATTAAAACAACTGCGTTATTACCACTTAGATACTGTTTGACTTGACGTTTGTTAAAAATAATGTAAGTGCCTATTCGCCAGAATACGCAAAAGTACTTTGCCCAGTCCAATGCGGAAAAGTAAGTTATATGCAAGGTTTAAACATTCTAAACTCAAATGCACCCGGAAAAGTTATCAATACACGGCTTCTCAATGTTTTGCAACTTTGCAGCCACATACGTATTTTTTTAAATCTTGAAAACCCTACATCTTAAAAACGAAGTGCTTCTGAGCACGTCTAGTTTTTTTCGTTTTTGTGTCGACAGATAAAAAGAATTGTGGTAAATCTTTTACTCTTTAATTACATATGCAGTCAAACATGCTCATATATCAAAAATGTACATCATATTATCGTATACCCCCATATGTTGAGCTAATTTTTTAACACCCAATGTGAAGTCTGCGGGAATTTCGAAGTTCTTCCATGGTGGATATTCTTCCGTAGTTTCCGAAGTGCTCTTATTGTCTTTAAAAAGTTGCAACAGTTCTTGCTTGATTAGGGGGTTAACACCAAATCTGTAGCATGTACCTTGGGGTGTTTTCTCCGCAATGTTTTTAGTTTTTCTGGCTTTAAATTTCTTCTTCATTGGAAACAAACAAATTTAAAACTGCAGTCAAAATTAACTTGACAAGTGTGTGGCAAAGGGAATTTGATTTTAATATTCTGACTGTGGTGGGAATAGAACGGCGAGTTCATATCATATTCGCGATCGCGAATGCAGCTAAGAGCTCGCCCTCTGGCGGTGACAAGTGATACTAGCGAAACAAGGTAAATATTTCTTCTGTGTGTGACATTTCGTTTTGTATTTTATTTAAAACTGAATTTAGTGTTCGTTTTTTGAACACTGTTATTTTAAGAAAATAGTGTGAGGAAAATTTCAGCAATTATGGATAGAAAGAAGAAACAGTCAAACTATTATTGTTCCGTTCAAGGTTGCTCTTCATGGTCCAAGAAAAATCCAGAATTAAGTTTTCATCAAACCATTGAAGAAATTTTCAAAACATTATTGCCGATAGATAATACTCCCTGAATTTCATGAGGGTTGTTAGTAAGTAAGGGCACTAGTCTGCAGACATAATATAAATTTCTAAATTTAAATTAACTTTGCGCAATTTTCCCATATAGTCCCACATGATCAGCCTTAAAAACTGCCTCTCCTAATATACAACGAGAGTTTTCGTTAGCATATATGTAAATAGGAAATGTATTTCACAACGGATAAGTTCATAGTTATAACTTAATAAAATGTACATTACATTGTAATGCTAGAGTAGACATAAAGTAGACATAAATACTTGCCTTAAAATTTATTTATGAAATATTTGAAACCTATAAAATAATACAAAAGTGAAATAACCGCAGTTTTATAACAAAATTACTAATAATAAAGGCAAATAAGACAAATGTTGTTCAAATTAATGTGTAAACGCGAACGGCAATGTCAAAATTACCTTGTTTCGGAGCTTACTGCTTTCGCCGTTTGGTGCGCTTGCATCTTAAAAATTATCGCGGATTATAGGTCTTCTCTGCCTAATGACGTCATCAACGAACAGTGCAAACAAACGTCATATATTTTGAATAAAGAAACTATTTAAGATTTAAGTTGATCGTGTACGTAAAACGTACATACAATGTTCACATTTATATGTGGTGTAAATCATGTTTAAACTTAGTTTAAGGTTTAAGTATGTTAAATGGAATGTAGGCTTAAATATTGAGACAAAATAAATATTTTAGAGTTTGAACCATCGTTATCAGTTTAGCATGATGTGAAGATGTTTAGGCTGTGACAGTTCTGGAAATGTGGTAATTAAGAATAAGAAAATGACAAAAAGTTATATTTTTTGCCAGTCTTGTTCCTTAGTGACATCACCTTATGCATGTAGGCACACCATATCATATTCAAACTACGATTCTGACCCATTTCTTATGTGCAAAATACATTTTTTAGTGTATATTGGCCGAATTTGTGTGGACAAGGGCAAATGAAACTTTCTTAGTAGTATTAAGTAGCCCAATTTTTTTTATTAAACTTTAGGTAATTTAACATAATTAATCTTAAATGTTAAGGCAGATAGATAGTAACCAAAACAATTATAAACTAAAATGGTAAATGAAAATAGTTTATTATGGTATAGAAAAGCTAAAATAAATAATAAGCCACATTGTGTACACAGAAGCTAAAAAAAATAACTACATCCATAGATGGCTAAATCTAAAAATAATAATTTTCACCTTATCTTCTAAGCTACAAGTTTTTGCTAACATAGGTACCTAACGACAAAAAATAGTAACTTTTAATTTCATCTTAAATTATTCTATAAAATACTAACATCTTAGATGGGATGATAAACCAATTTGTTAACTCTTTTCTAGGCATGCATGCGAGTTAAAAAATCATCTGCTTAAAGTTCTAACAATCACTAAAATTAATAGAAAAATAGGGAATTACACTCTTTTATTTAGGCAGCTTTACTGTTTATACCCCACACAAATGATTTTTTAACCATCCTAATATGGCAAAGTGGTCTTGTCAAATCTTAATTAATTCTTCACACACGTGAACGATAACAAATATTGTCTGCTCTTGTCCGCAGGAATGTGTGACGCCGCTAACACTAAAAATTATGTGGGATTCTCACATATAAACAAATGTACATAAACATTCACACACAAAAAAAATACAGGAACGTGAAGTAAAATGAAACAAGCGCTCGAGTAACTTTTTCATTTATTTATTAACACAAATATTTGTCTTGCCCTACCTATATATCTAGTAAACTCAAGAGTTAAATTAAGGCTAAACAATTAAATAAAAATCTAAGCATGTCAAAATATTCGTAATTTTCTGCGTAAGGATTGTTCCATTTTGATCAACAAAAGTCAAACTTTAGTGTTTATTTCAAACCCAACGATTACTATTTACAACTGATTAACCTACCAGTTCACACATTTTCAGGGAAGGAATACTTATATACAGTGTTGCAATATTTTACCGACAAAATGGTACAGGTGATTCCTTGATCAAAAATAAGTTAATTTGTTTTAGAAGAGATGAAGATGGACTGCTGCTAAAATGATCTGGTCGGTTAGATCACTAGACCTGAAACCATGTTAAAATTTTACTAAAAGCTAGCCAACAGGTCACCACTATTGAGCCACATTTGAAGTGAAATAAATTCAAAACGAGGATAAAACAGTTGTTTTTCCTCAAAAAAAAAAATTGGAAGGACTAAAAAATTTGTGCTTCCAAAAATAGTAGCAACCTGAAGATTATTTTGAAAAATAATTTGTATATTTTCAGTTCTTAAAAAAGTGTAGAATGTACCAAATTTCTTAAAAAGGTTTAAAATTAATATTTTAGTCTCAAAATCGAAGGGTTTGCAGTGAATAGTTTGATCAAACAGTACTTGTAGAATTTTGTAGAGGAAATATTGCAACATCCTGTATAAAGAAGCAAATGCATAAAGCAAAGCCAATAAAAATCCTGAGGCAATTCTAAAAAGAACCATTACAAAAATTACTTCAACCAAGGTTTATTGAAATTGGGTTTACTCGTTCTGCTTTTACCTTATTAACTAAATAACAGACCCGATTGTGTATGTACATACAAAATTAACACAACATATTCAACTACCAGCACGAGTACACTCTTAAAGTTATAATGGCTGTTGGTGTTGACTGTTATTTTTTACGCCCTGGTAACAAACTGAACTGTAAAATTTTTCACGAAAAAATATAAATAAAACGAATACCACACTTTTCAACATGATACAGGATGTGAAGAAAGTAAACTAACAAATTTCAGATATATAGAAATAAAAAATAACATTGCTAAATCATACATGTAACTCTTTTTTAATCCTTAAACGCTGAAATTTTAAATTTTAATTTTTACGTATTTCCCAGAGCATTTTTTTTAAAAACTTGTATTTAAAAAAAGAATATTGTTATTTTTACATTACAATTTTTTTAATTCTGTTCAACAGAACTCGTTATAGGAAATTGACAATATTTTCTTCCAAACATAATAAAAAATTAATTATCTGTTTTTTAAAAGTCTGGGACATAGACATGGGGGGGGGGCAAGGGTGTGCACAGCCCTCCCCAGAAAAAAAGATCTATTATCATCTTTGTCATATTCGTAAATCGCTGACTGCGCGACCTATTTTTTAGAATGAAATTAAAATGTGTTCAAATTTTATATCCGTAAGTTGCTGATTGCAGACCTTTTTTTATTTTTTTTTAGAGGCCTCCATAGAGCTTGCAAAGTAAAAAATCTAGCTACGCCCATGATTACAGAAATTCAAATTTTTTCAAAACAATACCCATCACCTTAACGGATTATTTGAAAAAATTATATAATTTATTCTTATTATTTCTCCGAGTTCTATATGCCCTTGAAGTTTGTTGGTTTATTTTGGTTCCACCTCTATATTTTTATATATGCATACATTTTGATACATATTTTACGTATTGTTTAAAAAAAAATTAAATCAAAGTTAACTGCTAAATCATAAACTAAATTGTCTTCTTTGTAATACCTGGTGTTACGATTTGGATGGTGCCTGGTGAAAATTAAAGGGGTCATATTTTAATAATGCTTTTTATGCTCATACAGAGAACTTTCATGACGGAAAAATTTCAAACAGAATTTACAAAGAAATTAAATTGGGGCAGCTGACTAATTTCGAAAGGATTGCACAATATGTTGTTTTTATAGATTTTTGTTTTTTACAAAATTAAATTTTCTTTGGAGTTATACATATTTGAATTTTAATTTAATAATATTCAATTTTTCAAACTTCGTAATGCTATAACTATGAAAAAATAAAATTTTGAGATTAAAAAAACCAACTGTTGGTTATAAAAAAAATTACTGTTACAAAATCAGCAACCCTTAATTTCTTTCATTTTGTAAATTTTTTCATCAAAAATGTTCTCTATGTGGGCCTAGAAATCATCCCCTAAAAAATGATATAGGGATTATTACCAAAATATGATCGCTTTAATTTCCACCAGCCGCCACTGCAAAATGACTACACCGAGTTTTAGTCTTTAATATAGTGGCTCAAAAAATGGTGTGACAAAAAATATACCTATCCACCATTCCACTGAAATACTAATTAATTGGTAATTTGCTGTTTTAATAGTTAAAATATAATGGTCTTAAAACACCCTGTATAGTAGGGGGCTCAAAAAAAGATTTTTTTTTTCGAGTCTTGTGAAAATATGTTAGTTTATTATGTTTTAAGAGCCCCTCAAAAAATCAGCTCAAAAAAAATTTTTTTAGTCAAGATTTTTAAAAATTTCCAAAATCGTCAAAAAATGATTTTTTTTCTCGTTATTTTATCATTTTCTAGATTGAAAAAAAATCTCGAATCTGAAAATTGGAAATCGATATTTTAATTTCTAAAGGTCACTCATAATTATTTTAACTTTCAAAGTAGTGTACTTATGTTTTCGAGCGACGTCTAAAACTAAATATCAACGAACTAATTTTTTTTTATTGAATTTGATGAGCAAAATAGAAATAAATCACGACACTTGAATTTTAAAAAATTAAAAAATTATAAATATTTGATACAGTGCGGCAGTAAATTTTGCCTCGAGAAATTTTTTAAGTGCCGTGAATTATTTCTTTCCTTTTGTTCATCAAATTCAATAAAAAAAATTATTAGTTCGTTGATATTTATTTCTAGAGAAAACATTTTAGGAACACTACTTTTAAAGTTAAAATAATTATGAGTGATCTTTAGAAATTAAAATATCGATTTGAAATTTTCAGATTCGAGATTTTTTTCAACCTAGAAAATGAAAATAAAAAAAAAAATAAATTTTTGACCATTTTGGAAATTTTTAAAAATCTTGACCTCTAAAAAAAATTTTTTTGGGCCGATTTTTTGAGGAGGGCTCTTAAAACATGATCATATTTTCAGAGACACCCTACTGTATAGTATATTGAAACTGATACTGCGGACACTAAGCAATTAATAAATAAACAAATGATTTATATTTTATTCTCTCAGCTCTAAAGTACTTACAAAAAAAAAATTAAATCAATTTTATCCTGACATTTTAATGTAAAGTTCGAGAGCGGAAAATCTCCGGAAATTAGGATAATTCAGTGTGTATCGTCTAAAAAGCACAATTTTCCAAGGTTAACTGGAGTAACATTAAAACAACGTCTTCGATTTCTCAACAAAAACAAGTTCGAGGAACAAATATTTTATTAACAACTATCCTTCCACATTTTTAGATCGTTTAAGATCCTCTGAAAAATAAATATAGGAAACATTGGATTGCAAAATTGATGTCTTACAAAATCATTCCAAAATTCAATCAATCCCACAATTGATCTTTTTAGAAGGCACTGTATATTTTGTCTTTTGTGATAAATGCTTCGTTAACTTAATCTAGAAATAATCACTACACATTCTTTGCCACCACTTAATACGTCAATAACTTTTCGACTGCGACGATGATTCTTGCTACGGTAAGTTTGTTTTAATTTACTTCACAGGATTACAAAAAAAAAATTAAACAAAAACCAAATCAGTTGCATAAATAAAAGTATACTTAAAAACCTAGAAAATGACAAAGTCCTTACTCATAACATCGTAACAACTTTCCGGGCAAACTCCGTAAAGATCATTCATTCACACAGCACTACGTGACGACTCATCAAACTCCAACAAAGTATCTAGAAATCAACACATCGAAATATCTGTAGCGCTCTATAAAAACATATTTACAGAAATAATAACAAGTATAATATGTATCAATTCCTAAGATATTACAAATAAAGTTGGTATATTATATATACAAAACGCCAGCAAGAAGTAGGGTTATGTTCTAAGGCATCTTGCAGCGACAATACGACTTCTTTAATATGTAGTGTATAAACGATAGTTAACGACTTTATAAGTGGCTTGTGGATATACTAACAGCGCTACGCCATCGGGTTTTCTGTGACGTCTTATGATAAATCTGCAAGAAAAACACACTTATGTTGCCAACCGTTTTCTCTTAATAAAGAAGAAAACTTCCATCTACTTACAACTTGGTGCTGCTGAGTTGCTATAATTTTTGTGTATTTGATCATAAGTGAACTTAACAAAGGCATCATATTGTTCTGCAAGTTTAGCTGTTAATACATTGTCATATTCTTCCCTAATTTCCGATTCACGTTCTCTAAGCATACGTTCACAGATTAGACCGACCTACAAAGTTGACATTAAAAAGAAATAAATCTAATATCTTTCTCTGACAGTGCTACCTGTTTAAATGTGAATAGAGCTTTTTCTGAGCGAGAGGGAGACTCAGAATTTTCTCCTCCGGAACTGCTACCATCTGAGTTTTCCATCATACTGTATTGTAATTGTTTGCGTCTTTGTAATCTCTTCAATTCAGCCTTAATGTTCTCAGCCATATATTCTATAAAAGCGGGAAATAAAGCAAAAAAACTATATTTCGGTTGATATAGCAACTAGAGAAAAATCTATTTTAAAATTTATTTTTTCATGTGAGTGATAGTTAACTTTAGGCTTGATTTTATATGTTAATTATTAAATCCGTTGATTACAGGAAAACAAATTAGATAAAATTTATTTACCGACTTCGAATATATCCACAAATAAAGTTAAAAATAAAAATAGGTCATACGAAAGAATAAACAATGTTAAGTTATAATTACATTACAATGGAACAGGTCTCACCTAAAACTGTTAATTATTTAAATTTTCACAAAAGCCAATGATTTGCAATTCACTGTATAAGTATATTACAAATAAAATTACATTCAAAGAATACACATCCAGACAAATAAATCCAATATTTGTGTAACCTCTGGTCACTTCTTAAAATTTATTATCATGTTCTCTCCATTTCATTGGCAGGAAGAGAGCAATTATTTATTCAAAACTGTACTTAGTATTCACCAGCTTGTTAGATATAATTTAATAAATTATAAAATTCTTAATTTTATGAAAACATCAACTATGTCGTCAATCAGCTGATGACAAATATGTCAACAAAGTATAAATAAAAAAATTAAAACAATTTCATATGATCGATAATATACCCAAACCCAAAGATAAATATTAAGAGTATTATAGTTGTATAGAATGATGTCTCAACTTACCAGGGGTCAGTTTTTTACTCAGAACTTCTGGAAATACAGAGCTTCTTGGAGATGAGGAGCCCGTAGGACTGTTGTGGCTAGAAGTTGTTGGAAATGCCCTTTCTTTTTGAGTAGGGCTGGCACAGAAGGGTATGCATCGTCTTCTTTTAGCCGGCCGTCCTCCTAAAACGGGTTCCCAGTCTAACGATCTCTTCAAAGTTGCACACGCCATTTTTAGTTTGGTCGCTAACAGATCAAAACAAAACTGTCAACTTCACTTGTTTCCGTTACTAGCACAAAAATATACTACGAAATTTACAGATTGCACTGAATTATGCAGAGAAATGCAGATTTTGAGTCTAGAACTGTTCTAATCTATAGATGTCTGAGGATTTGTAATACACTAAACTATCAATATGGCGATGTGAAATACGAGAAGTGACATTTTGGGAGACTTCTTTATAAACGCCGACTCGATTCCCTCATCTTGGGACATGCGCATGCTCGTGTTTTGATTAATGTTAAGGCAACGCCTGAAAGATGGCGCTGCGAATAAAAAAATATATTTCAATTTTTAATAGTTATAGTTTAGTACATTTTATAAAATTGTTCATAAGAAAAGTAATCAGTTACATCATACAAATTTCATTATCGAACGCCTAGTAATGTCATCTTAATATCAATTTGAAAAATGAATGTAGTGAGGATTATTTGTCAGTTGTCAGTGACGTATATAGAAATTTTGTTCCTCTGACACATCAACAGATCCATCAAATTAATTCAAGAATCGGAATATAAGTCGATTTCGAACATAATTTGCATAAATATTTTAGAAATGCCGAATTTTAATATTACGCGACTTCCGCTGCGTTTATTATTCCAAATGAGCCGTTCTGCTGCACTATAATTGGTCAAAACGTATCAGGCAACCTAGTCCCTAGTCCCTTATCGAATATTCATCCTATTCTGTGCTGTGCGTTAGGCTTTAGTAATTTTGTTTTCTCACTTTTTTCAGTCTTTATCAGGGCCCGAGAACTTATACTTGAAAAAATTGTGAAACTCTGGGAACCACGTGACTTGAGATGGATATACAAGTTGGGGAAAGGGTCTATAGATGTCGCCATAGATATTTTGTAGAATAAATTTTGACAATTGCAATTATGAATCATTTCATGTCATTCTTGTTCATGTTTATTGTTTATTGTTGGTTAGGTTTGGCGAGTGTTGGTGTGTGTTGTTTTATTAGATATTTCATTCACATTTATTTATATAACATAATAATGTCTGATCATCATATAATCACATTTTTTTATTAATAATAAAATGTTGTTTTTTTGTTTTTTTTAATAAAAAATGTGATCAGAGGTAGGTAGTTTTTTTTTATGGATATCAACACAACGAAAAATTTAAAGTTGCATAATAAATCTCTATTACAAGAATTAATCAAAGATTGGTTTAGTAAAATTATTTACTTGTAATATTTTTTTATTCACCGTGAAAGCTAATACAATATAGAAAGCACTGAAACTCTATAATCATTTTCACTCTTGTTTTTTCAAAATATGTACTGAAATTTGAAATTTTTTCAACAAACATTTTAAAAAGTTACAGTATCAAAATTATTTCTTATTTTAAGTAGAAAGACTATTAGAGCATTTAAAAGTGTCTTTAATGCTTGAGTGATTTTAATGCTTTTTATCAAATGTACTTATTTTCTCATGGTGACAAAAAAAATTATCTACGTGAAAATTATTTTACAAAATCAATTTGTGAGTGATCTGTGTAGGGTGAGATTTGTTATGTAATTTTAAATTTAGCGGCGGCAGAATACCTAAAACAAATATTGAGTAGGTAGGTATATAGTTGTAGAGCGTACAACTAGATGGCGCTTGCATCTTTTACTGGCTACAGGTAATTTAACTCACTGTATTACCGATAATTCCTAGAAAAGGAAAGCAATAGAAATTGGAGAAAGTGTCAACAGTTAGCGCTGTTAACGACCACGAAATCTGTTCAAGTTTCCTATCTATAGTATCATTTATCTAGGGTCTTTATCCTACACGTGATTGGTTAGGTTTTTAGGTTAAGAAATCTTTCACTTTTTGTTGTGGTGCTGTCCGTTTGCATGATAAAGTATTAATTAATAATAATTAACGTAAAATGGGGAAAACAAAACGAATGAAACCGTCCCAAATGGGCAAAGTTTCTTTAGAAGAAGACATACATAATGCCAGATTTGTTAAAAGCAAAAACAAGAATAAAATACGTCTGCGACAAGATGAAGAGGAACAATTCGTTAGTAGCAACTTATCCAAGAAAATTTTATCTGCAGCTCGTGAGCAGCAAAGAGAAATGGAAACAGATTTTGCACCTGAAGAAGCAGCTCACAGTAAAGCAAAAATTACAAAATTAGATTTGGGCAATGAATCTGATTCTGATAATGAGGAGGAAGGTGATGTACAACCCGAAGATACTTTTTACGAAGACATTGTAATAGATGAAGCTGACGAAAAGGCCATTGAATTGTTTATGAGTAAGAACCCATTACCTCGAAGGACTTTGGCAGACATCATTATGGAAAAAATTACTGAGAAACAAACAGAACTGGAAACACAATTTAGTGATGCTGGTTCCATACAAATGCAAGATATAGATCCTAGGGTGAAACAGATGTATGAAGGTGTAAGAGATGTCCTAAGAAAATACAGAAGTGGAAAGTTACCTAAAGCTTTCAAAATTATTCCTAAATTGAGAAATTGGGAACAAATATTATATATTACTGATCCTCCTAGTTGGTCAGCAGCAGCGATGTATCAGGCAACCAGAATATTTGCCTCGAATTTGAAGGAAAAAATGGCACAAAGGTTTTACAATTTAGTTCTCTTTCCTCGGATCAGAGATGATTTAGCAGAGTACAAAAGATTGAACTTTCACTTATACCAAACTCTCCGTAAAGCACTGTTTAAACCGGGAGGTTTCATGAAAGGTATCTTGTTGCCTTTATTAGAAAGTGGTAACTGCACATTGAGGGAAGCTATTATAGTGGGATCTGTAATTGCAAGAAATTCCATCCCTATTCTCCATTCGTCAGCTGCAATTTTAAAAATCGCCGAAATGGACTACACTGGTGCTAATTCCATAATACTAAGAATTTTCTTTGACAAGAAGTATGCGTTACCTTATAGGGTAGTCGATGCATGTGTGTTTCACTTTCTGAGGTTCCAAAATGATTCCCGTGAGTTACCTGTTCTGTGGCACCAAGCATTTTTAACGTTTGTGCAGCGATACAAAGCCGATATTTCTACTGAACAACGAGATGCTCTGCTGGAACTGCTAAAAAACCAGAACCATCACTCTATAACAGCTGAGATTCGAAGAGAGCTGCAAAACGCCAAGTGCAGAGATTTAGAAGATGCAGTACCAGTAATGGACATGGATTAAGTTGTCACTGAATTGTTTGACAATAAAAATGTTATTTAAAGTTTTTTATTTAATTATTCCCATGAAAATTTGTGTAATAATTCTTCCAAAATTTTATTTCTCTGAAAGGTCTGTACAGAATTCTACCACAAATTCTTGAGGTGAGTAATCGAAAATAGACACAGGGCATCCAAAGTTAATTTTAGGTTGACATAAATAACTCTTAAATGTCACTTTTTAAAAATATTTTCGAGTGTATATTTAAATTTTGTATATTTTATTGTCAATTTGCATACGACAAGTATGATTACCGCACGTAAATAAATAGAGTAGGCAAAAAGCTGACCTAAAAAACAAGCAGAAAGATAGGACTTATCCCATATGAGTAATAAAAACACTAACTAAATATTCAAAATAACCACCGTTTTCATGTGACGCCCTGTATCTCCATAATTATCAACTTTTCTAAGGTCAGATAAGGCAAATCGATTTATTTTCACCTTGAGAATTTGTGGTAGAACTTTGTACAGACCATTCGGGGATACCCTGTATACAAGGTGTTTCATAATGATGTGCAAAATTTTAAGGTGTTTAGAAAGTAATTTTAGGGGGGGGCACTTCCGATACTTTTTCGATTTGAGCCCACCCTGAGAAAATATTCGAATCTCAAATTGTCCTAAAAATTAGCTTTTATTTTTTTTCGCGAAAACGATTAAACTTAGAACTCTCAATTTTGGTACACGTTAACAACTAGTAGAATGATATCTTTTGGTAGTCTTTTTTTCCTGGTTATGAGTTAAACGTTTTTATGCCGTTCCAATTGAGATCGAAGTTTACGAAAAAATGAGAAGAGCAAAAAAGTTTCTAAATTAAATGTAGTATTGAGATATTTTTCTTGTTGGAATTAGCTAACATAGAAAAAAGTTCCGAGAGAAATAAAATCAAGGGGTGCTAATTTCCTTAATTCAAAGACAGACAGGCCAGACAAAAAAAAAGACTACCAAAGAATATCATTTATATAGAGACCGACTGAATGATTTTTTTGGCCGAAGCCGAACTTCAGTTTATGGGTTACCTTCGGCCGAAGCCGATGCCAAAGATATTTTTATTAACTTGAAAGTTTTAATTAAAAACAAAACTATGATAAGATAACATAAAAGTCTGTCAAAAATAAATGCATAATGTTTTGGAAATATAATAATAACAATAATAAATAAAACAACAAATTCTAATAATTTAATATTAAATTATTAAAATATGTCTCTCTTTACGAAATAAATCAGTCTTCACGTTCACTAGTACCACATATTACTAACGGGCACTAATATTAATACTAATACTGCTACTGCCCAGCGTTCAAAAACATTTATCTAACATATTGCACGTAGTCCCTGCCTGATTCGACCGGGGATAGATAAGGCGAAATCGGCGGCTTCGTATGAAAAATTAACTTGTTTTGCTCCGGAAAAAGTAACTTGATTTTTTGTTATCGTTTTTGAGTCTTGAAAATGGCAGTTTTGCATTTTTTCGTACTTTAAATTGCTTATAACTCGGAAACCGTTGATTTTAGGAGCATAGTGCATAGGAACTATTTTGTTTAGATACCCCAAAATACCTAAATAAACTTTTCCGGAGCAAAATAAGTTACTTTTGCAATTTGTTTAAAAAACATTTGTTTAAAAAAATTGTGACCAGGTTACCAGCCGGTAACATTTTGATCCTCATTCAGGGATATCTCACGAAGGTGATTATGCAAAAAATCGAATCCACTAATTTTTTCATACGAAGCCGCCGATTTCGCCTTGTCTAGGAGTTGCAGGTGCAGGCTCAAATTCACTCCGTGTCGACGCTTGACGTCAACGGCTTCGGCGAAAAGTTCGGCTTAATTTTGGCCGAAGGCAATTCTTAGCCGAATTGATCGGTCGTCTCTAATATCATTCAACTAGTTGTTAACGTGTACCAAAATTGAAATTTCTAAATTTAACCGTTCTCACGAAAAAATATATAAGCAAATTTTTTCAAACATTTTAAGATTCCAATTTCTCAGTTGGGACTCAAATCGAAAAAATGTATTGGAAGTACCCCCTCCCCTAAAATTACTTTTTAAACACCTTAAAATATTTGCACATCATTATAAAACACCCTGTATATTTGATATTCCAATTTCCAAGTAGTTTCGAAAACCTCTTCAAATGAATAAAACCTTGAATTAGAGCTGCTTTTGTGTGTATCACTTGCAGTTTGCAGCACACCACGAACGTTTTCATGCATTTTATAATTAGAGTTCGGGACTCGGTCGGATGATCATGGCCGTCGTGTCGGCCTTTCGTTACAACACACCGTATGAAATCGGTAATTACGGCAGTTATTGGCCTTAAATTTGCTTCGTGTTACCATTTTAATATTCTAATAATGCCGAACACGCCAAGGCGTAAAAAACGACTTTTCGCTGATAAAGTACCTAAATTTATTTATATTTATTTGTACCTACTTGTTTATTCATTTGTTTACGACAAACACGCCTACGATAACCCTAAACTCTATAACATTCTCACGATTTTAAGAACATGTTTGCAGTTATTTTTTCCATTTTGAAAAAATTAAAGAGGAGCTTTGTCGGGAACAAAAGAAAACAGGAAATAGATGTAAATAATTTTATTCAAATCATTTTTATAAAGATTTGCGATGGGCATATACAACAAAAAGCAAATAAAATAAACCAGTATTTTGCTATAGTTCTTGGGATAAATCAATTACTATGAATAAAACAACTATAAGTGTGTGAAATTAGAAAAAAATGTTTTTATCTAAAATATGTACAGTTACCTAAAATACGATTAAGTACTAAATAACCCTAATATTAAAACTTTGTACAAAATTTTTAAATATACATTTAACATTTACAAACAGTATAAGAGCCAAAACTTTAATTCAATTCGTCTTTGGTAATACTTTAGAAAAGTACTTGTACTTAAAAAACTTTTTAGAAACATCCAACATCATATCGAAGAATTTTCAATATTAAACTTACACCATTCATAAATATTTTGATATTACCCCACGTGGCGACGTCCCATTAAAGAATCTCGTCCTCGAGACCGGGAACGGGCGGCAGAACCACCTCGTTCTTCGCCCGTTTCGGAGGAGTCGGCGGCAGAGGTTCCTTCCCCGACTTCCGTTTAGACTTGAAGTCTTCCTCGCCCAACATTTCCGCGGCTTTCCTGATTAGATCCTCCTCCGACAGCGATCCTAGAACGCTACTTTTTTCCTCGAGTATGGGCGAATTTACGGAAAGGGGCTTAATCTTCGGTTTACTAGGCAGATTTAACGGTATCGTGTCGCTGGGCATATCGATCCTCTGCGAGGGGTTGCTCAACGGCCTCGTGAACGTCTTTGGGATCATCAGGGGGATCGTCAAATCGTTCTGGCCTGCGTCTTGTGGGGGAGGGGTCGGCGTTTCGGATGTCTGCAATAAAGTTTTACGTAACGAAATTCCGCGATTAACTCCAAAAATACCCACCTCTCCTATAGTTTTAATGCTATCTAAAATTTGCTGCAGATTACTGGGGAGAGCTATATTCGCCAATGCGGATGTCCCGATCTCCGAAGACGCTGATACGATGTTCTGCGTCATGCTGGTTATCTCCGATTTCTGCATCTCGATCTTCTTGTTCAACTCCTCCATCTGTCTCTGGATTTCCAGGGTGGTAGACGGCAGCGGTGAGGAAGAAAGACCTGATATAAAAATAATTTTTTTTATGTAAGGGGCGTCGCAACAGTCGGTGTATATGAAGCTCTCGTAAATTCTTAGGACGAAAACAAATTGATTCAACTAAGGAAAGAGTTACTATCCAAAGTTTCTTCGTTGAGTTACTAGAGGGCGCCAAAGTCAGCAAAACATTAAAGTCCCCAGATTGATCAAGTACCGCAATAAGTGTTTCTGTTTGCCCCAAAATGGCAGTTTGACGTGACTATTTGGAATATCGAGATATAGAAATTCTGTATGGCTTCTCAGTTTTAAAACAGATCCTGGGGTTTGTCAAATCCTAAGATTTTGGGATTTTGGAATTCTGGGATATTAAACCAACCAACCAATGGAGCGAAAAAAGAGGTTGTTTTTACACTTAAATATTAGAGCAAATTTCATGTATTTCCTTTTGAAAAATACTTAGTAAATGAAAACCCAAGTGATTTCCCCAGCAAAGTCATGAACAATTTTTTGAAACAATAAAAACTGCAAAAAATGATATTTTTTTGTTTTTTTTAAATATCTCGATAAATAATGATGGAATCCTCTTACTCTCAATAGGACTTTTGTAGAGAATAAAAAAACCTATAAAATGGTTTTTTGTGCGACCCATCGGTTCATTTTTTATAGAGAAAATCTGGAAAAACCTCTAAAATAGACCTTTCTTCAAAAATTCATAACTCCGTCAAATTTGAAGCTGAAAAAATAGTTTTAAGGAAAATGACAGATAATAATATGTAGTTTAATCGTGCGCAAGATGGTTTCTGTCCGATGCATAGTTTTTGCACAATTGCATTATAAACAAATTAGGGTCTTTTTTTGCACAGCGTGGCAATTTATCAAAAACGGTCCGATTTAAATTCTGAAAACGGCATCTGAAAGTAGACGTCAAAATCTCTAATTTGTATATCTCGGAATTTTTCCGAATATAAATCAGACCATTTTTGGTAAATTGCTACGGTGTGCAAAAAAGACCTAATTTGTTTATAATGCAATTGTGCAAAAACTATGCATTGAACAGAAACCATCTTGGACACGATTAAACTACATATTATAATCTGTTATTTTCCGCAAAATAGTTTTTCCAGTTTCAAATTTGACGGAGTTCTGAATTTTTGAAAAAAGGTCTATTTTAGAGGTATTTCCGGATTTTGTCCGTAAAAAATGAACCGCTCGGGTCGCAGAAAAAACTATGTTATAGGTTTTTTTATTCTCTACAAAAGTCCTATTGGGAGTAAGACGATTTCATAATTATTTTTCGAGATATTATAAAAAAACAAAAAATGTCATTTTTTTGTAGTTTTGTTTGTTTTTGTTTAAAAAAAAAATTGTTCACGACTTTGCTGGGGAAATCACTTTTCATTTACTAAGTATTTTTCGAAAGGTAATACATGAAAGAGTGACCACAAAATCCGCCTGTTTTTGACACTTTGACAGAGGCGACAGGACAAATCCTAAAAATATTCAAAAAATATCCAAAAACTCGCCATGAAAAATGAAAATGAGCATCACTTCCAGTTTTTCGAAAATTTTCGAAAATCAGCCTTAATTTAGGGGTTAAAAACACAAAAAAGGGAACAAATTAAGAATCATCAACAGTTGTAAAACCCCAAATATTTCTATGTTGTTAAAATAATATTATAAACGTGATCTAATTTCATATTTGATACGGTCTTGTCCGGATTGAAAATCAACCCTTAATATCCCTAAAGGGGTATATACTTGTGTATAAATTATTCTAATGAATGTATTTCGAAACATTATTTTTTTCATGCATTATAATTATTTTATGTACTTTAAGGCCGATGGTTGAACTTAGGGGTGGTTTTACTCTCATTTAGGGGTATTTTCCTTCGGATCTAGTGATTCTGGGTTATTAACAGTTCAATTATCACGTATAAAAGAAAAAGAAAAAAAATTGTAACTTTTAATACTTAATTTTTTGCATTTTTAGGCATTTAGGGGATGATTTCACCCTTTTAGGGATATTATGGGTTGATTTTCAATACGGACAAGACCGTATCAAATACGAAATTAGATATTTTCACGTTCATAATATTATTTTGATAACAACTTAGAAATATTTGGGGTTTTATATTGATGATTCTTAATTTGTTTGCTTTTTTGTCTTTTCAAGCCCTAAGGGTAATTTTCGAAAAACTGAAAGTGATGCTCATTTTCATTTTTCATTACGAGTATTTGGATATTTTTAGAATATTTTTAGAATTTTCCCTGTCGCCTCTGTCAAAGTCTCAAAAACAGGCGAAAAAATGGCTTTTTTTGTGGTCACTCTGCTGTAATATTTAAGTGTGCCAAAAAATCTCTATTGGTTGGTCCATATAGAAATACCGAGTGTGGCTTCTTAGGGTTTTAAAATTATGAGATCACGGGATTTTTGGAATACCACGATATAGAAATACTGTGTGGTTTCTCACAGTTTTGAAATTGTTAGAATCTGGCTTTGTGCAATCCTAAGATTCCAGGATTTCGGAATACTGTAATTCTGGATATAGAAATCCCAAGTTTGACCTTCTAGATCCCGAGATGTAGAAATCTCAAAACCGGCTTTCTGGAATTTTAAAATCTTAACATCTCGGGATTGTAAATTCTTAAGATAAACAACTGAGATATAGAAACCCTCATATATCTAGGATTTTGGAATCCCGAGATACAGAAATTCTAAGATACCAGGATTTTTGACTACTCAAATATACAAATCCTAACGTGGCTTCCTATGGTTTTGAAGATTTTGAAATCCTGAGATTCTGGGATATAGAAATTACAAGTTTAGCTTTCTAAGGAATTTAAAATCCCAAAATATAAAAATCTCAAAACTAGCTTTATGGAATTTTAAAATCTCGACATATCGGGATTGTAACTTCTTAAGATAGACCACTGGGATATAGATATCCTAAGATATTCAGGATTTTGTAATCCCGAGATACAGAAATTGTAAGATACCAGGATTTTGGACTACTCAAATATACAAATCCTAATGTGGCTTCCTATAGTTTCGAAATCGTGTGATTCTGGTTATGCGAAATCCTAAGATCCCAAGATTTTGGAATCCTGAAATCCTGGGATATAGAAATTACAAGTTTAGCTTTCTAAGGAATTTGAAATCCCGAAATCCCGAGACTGGCTTTCTGGGATTTTAAAATTTTGACATCCCTGAATGTTAAAATCTCACGATAAAATATTGGGATATAGAAACCCTAAGATCTCACGATTTTGGAATACCGGGATATAGAAATCCTAAGATGCAGGATTTTGGAATCCAGAAATATAGAAATGATACTGGGATCATGAAATTCTAAGAATTCCAGGATTTTGGAATTCTGAGATCTTGGGATATAGAAATTCCGAGGTTGGCTTCCTGGGATTTTGAAATTACAAGATCATGAGATTGTGAAATTCTAAGATCTTGGGATTTTGGAATCCTGAGACCTGGGCCATAGAAAACCCAAGTCTGGCTTCTCGAGGTTTTAGAATCCCAGGATATAGAAATCCCGTATGTGGATTCCTGGGATTTGAGTTGTTAGATCCTGGCATTGTGAAATCCTAAGATCCCGAGATTTTGGTATCTCAAGATCCTGAAATCAAAAGAACTTTCGACAGAGGCAAACTTAGTTAAAGCGTCTTATTTTGATCCCAAGAAACTGGTGCAGTTTCATGTATAAGGAATATTGGGACACCGTGTATAGTTAAAAAGAAACATGCATTAGTATATTTTGCAACAAGAGTGAAACTAATTGTTTTTTTTTTAACGGGAACAAATTAATTTTGTTCCTAGACCAAAAATTAACGATATACATATACTAACCTGGAATTGCGGGATATATTACGGAGGGCGTAACAGGATCTGGAATCGCCATCGGAGCAGGGGTAAGAGGTGGTGGAACAGGCATTAATACGGGAGCGGGAGCGTCGGGATCCGAATCCTCCGGGCTGTAGGGCTCGTTTTCTGCAACAGGAAAATTATATGCGTAAAAAAAAAACACAAGTCGAGTACACGTCCACGTTCTTACCATCTTCATCGGCGGTTGGAGGAAGTGGGGGCGGCAGAGGCAGCTTCAGCCGTGCGTCCTTCAGTGGGGGTGGAGTGTAGGATCGCGGAGGCACTACTGGCGGTGGGGGTATGACGGGTAGAGGCGGGGTTTCCACTCTGCTTCTCTTGGGTAACGCCGACGTGGGAACTATGGGTTCGATGTGGGGCCTTTTCCGCTTATCTCTCACGATTATGCCCAGGAGTAGAGCTGGCCTCGACTCCTCAAAACCTAAAAAAAAAAAGTTGGATTAATACAGAACAGGTAATAGTAATGTACCGTTCACGGAACTATTCACTCACCCGGACCGTTGAGAGGCAACAGGGCCTGCGGGATTGGCTTTTGCGGCGCCAAAGGCAGTATATAAAAGTCCTTGACAGCCTTGTTGGTGCTCTTCACCACACCAAGCCTGGTCCTGCTGCTCAGATAGCTGTACAGTGCCAAATACGGCATCTTCTCTTCTATATTTGTGGCGTTTAGTCTTAATAATGAAATTATTTTACTATTTGAACACTTCATCTTTCCGATGTAGTCCCACACTGTGTCGGGAGATATCCGACCGACGATGTCAAGGTTTTCGGGCAGCTCCTTACCCAATCCAGAACAGTCCCCTGAAAAACGAACAAAAATTAGTAATTTTAAAATGCCATTTATAAGAATTTGAAAAAAAAAATATTACGATTGACTATTTAGTATAATATCTTTAAAGTAAATTTGGGTGTCCTCCCTCCCCCCATAACCTCTTAGGATCGAGTCCTATCAAATAAAGTTTGAGATGAATAATAGAGTGCTAAATTTTATAATATGGCGTCAAAAATTTTTAATATTTTTTTCTCTGTTGAAGACCAGAGAGCTAGGCAGTATGTATCAGATTCGGTTGCTACGCAGTAAATCGGCATTGAAAAATTTGAAAAACAGGTCTGGTCGCCCAATTGAAGAAAACACGCGTGAGCAAACGCCGCACACATACAGCTGCACTGGGCGACCGGAAATAAATTTCAGTTGTTGACAAATTGCCTAGCAGTGCAGTGCAGCAATGCGAAATTTGGTGTGATTCGGATAATATTGAATTAGTAGAACCGGTTGTTAATGAAACAGATTTAGAATTTAAAAATAAAGATTTACATGTTCAACATCAGCGTCTCATTTTAAGTATTTACAATAATGAAACTATAAATAGAATTCACAAAAGTTTTAGTGTCCACAATTTTTCGTCTTATTAAACAAGGTGTTATAGATCACTGTGTAAAAAGGAAGAGAAAACAATAAAAATATCGATAACATGACGAGAGACGTAATTCGGCGGACAATTTATAATTTATATAAAGAAAATTGAGGACATAAATAATTTAAATATGTTGTTGGCTAAATGAACATACAAGGTGGCACAAAAGTATGGAAACCCCTGAATAACTCGTCAGGAGTGCATTTTCTTGAAAAATGATAAATACAAGAGTTTTAGGATTTTTCCCTGGCTATTCAATGGCGCCCTTGTATTCGACCTTGACCTTGACCTTCAAGGTCAAAATTGATTTTTCAAATGGGAATCCCTATTTTTTTATTGCAGATTTGGAAAGAACAGGAAATTTTACGTTCAAGTATCACCTTGACCACGACCTTCAAGGTCACTCCAAGGTCAAAGTTGGTTTTTCAACAGGAACCCCTACCTTTTTTAGGGATTTGGTCGCTGATTAAGAATCGGAAATCGGTTTTTGAAAATTCGCAATCCAAGATGGCAGTTTTAAGATGGCGGACAATATTCTTAAAAAATCTACCAATTTTTGCCAAATTTGTTATACGGGGGTTTTTGTGGTCACTGATTAAGAATCGGAAATTGGTTTTTAAAAATTCGCAATCCAAGATGGCGAACAATATTTTAAAAAATCAACCAATTTTCCCCAAATTTGGTATACGGGGGTTTTTGTGATCGCTGATTAAGAATCGGAAATCGGTTTTTGAAAATTCGTAATCCAAGATGTCGGACAATTTGAACGTAAGGTTTCATGAACTTTCCAAATCTGCAATAAAAGTAGCGGTTCCTGTTGAGAAAACAACTTTGACCTTGGAGTGACCTTGAAGGTCGTGGTCAACGATATGGTCAAGGTCATACTTGAACGTAAAATTTCCTGCTCTTTTCAAATCCGCAATAAAAAATAGACCATATTAAAATTTTTTATTTTTATCCTATCAATCGTTGGTTTAAAAAATAGGGTGTTCCATTTAACATTTTCAAGTCGACTATTGTTTGACCTTTGATCTTTTCAATGTTAAAGTCAACGTCAAACCCAAGGTCACCAACATATTGATTCCCTCATATCCTACAACTTTCATCTGAAATTGCTTTTGAGGGACAATCCTGCAAAATTATCTTCATTTTGAGGAGTTTTTGGGATACCCCTGTATATTTTTTAAAATATATTTCAAAATATTCACTAACCTGACACCTCGTGAGCAGTTATCGAAATTTGAGCCACGTCGATCATGTTAATGGTGCCCCTCCATATTTCCGTCGGAGCGTTTCTAGGGGGAGGCGACGTGCTACGTTCTTCTACCTGACTGACCTCTTTATCGTTCTCGGGTACTACCACTGAAACAAAAGTAAAAATACAACACGAAGCGATTTAATGGGTGATCCTAACTTACGGCTGTTCTTTGTTTCGTTGGACATCTGACTGCTAGAAAATTCATCGCTCTCTTGGCTCCTGGGTGGCGTCGGTATCGTTACCGTAGAAGAGGGCTCGTGATCACTGTCGCTCTCGGGAGCTGCTGTAAATTCGGCATTTTTAATTATCGATGAAAAAAAATAAATTGTTATTAAAAAATTTCATATCAAAATCGAATATATTGTAAGGATTTCGAAAAAGACATACCTGGAACGATGTCTTCCTGCGGGACATGTTTCCAAAGACGATCCTCCAGCGGCGGCACGATTTTGTTATCGACCAGCTGCTCGAGGATCTCTTTGGACTTCTTGTCCAATTTTTCAGTGGTGGACATGATGTCCTTTTTATGCCTTGAGCTCTTGTGCGACGATTTCCTGTGCCTGTCCCTATCCCTGTCCCTAGACCGCGATCTTTTCTTGTGGTCGCTGTGCCTTGAACTGCGATCTCTACTCCTCGACCTCTTCCTACTCCTATCCCTGTCTCTACAGAAACAAATGATAGAAACGTTTTTTAAGTTGGAGATCTTTCTTTTAAAAATATGTAATATTTATTAGAAATTTCAAAAAAAAAAATAACAAAAATGCCATTAGAAGCCATTAGCTCAGTATACGACGGTTTTTAGGTCCTAATTCTTGACACAAGCACCGATTGACGTGAATTTCTAACAGTAAGTAGAAAATTGCTCAAGAAACAAAAGTTACATAGTGCCAATGTGTGCTTTCACCCATTTTAATCTCAAAAATCAATAGAGGGATCAATTCTAAGCAAAAAATGTTCTATAACGTTTTTTCCAAAAATTATTATTTTCCGAGTTATTTGCGATTGAAAATGTTGATTTTTCATCTAAAAAGTGCATGTTTTTCAACCATTTTTGATAAATAACTCGAAAACCTTGCGTTTTATCGAAAAACTCATATAGAGCAAAATGAAAGCTTTTGAAATAACAAATCAATTAATTTTTTGTTGATTACCGTAGATGTAATAATAACCGAGTTATCACTCTCTAAAGGTGATTGTTTATTTTTCGGAAAGTAAAATCGAACCTTTTACCGTAAAATAATGGCGAAAGAACTAATTTTTCGAAGAAAATTAGTATATCCTTTTTTAAAGTGCTTGGAAAGACCTTTAAAATGTTTGCTGAAAAAATTCCGTAGCTCAAAAACTCACGGAATTATGATGAAAATAAAATTGACATCTCATTTTTTCGGAGATAAAATCAACAATAAAATCTATGGCTGACCATAAAAATAGAAACTAAGCGTAATCCATGTACAGTTGACTTTATTTAGGTACTAATAATAGGCTCTGCAAGTTTGACCGGTTTAGAATGCCTAAATTTAAAAAGAAGTTTGAAAAAATGAAACTAAACAAGATACGTGAAAAATGCAAGAGTTCAAAAAAAATTAAGTTTTTTTTTGATAATATTTTTGCTCTCTTTCAATTTTTCTGTAGAGCAAAAATTAACAGAGATATTACATTTTTTAGTTCACATTTACGCGTAAGGACCACCTTCGATGAGCCCTTAAAACCTAAAAATCTCGAAAACGAAGAGTTCAAGACTCTTCAATTATAAAGGTTGATTTGTAGCTCTTGCAATTCCCTGCAAATTGCTTTTTGGAGCGATGAAAAATATTAAAAATTAAAAAAGTTATGGTGAAAAACCAACCTGCACCCGAAGAATGTTTAAAAATTATATTTTGCAATTGCAAAAAAGGATGCGGTGCGACTTGCAGTTGCCGCAAAGTTGGACTCTATTGTAATGCGACATGAGGAACATGTTCTGGGAAGAGTTGCCAAAATTGTCCTCCAATCACGGACCAAACATAGGAAGTCGACAGTGATGATAGTTCTTTAGATGATATGTAAATTTTTGATAATAAAGTATAATTGTATAATACACAAATAATTTTTATTTTCCCTTTCACTAATTACATAATTTAAGTTTCGAGTTTTAAGTAATCTCCTTGAATTTAGTAATGTATCGTTGGGTGTTTTAAAGCAGGTAACAATTCTTCAATTCCTCATTAAGGGTTGTTTTTAAGGGTTGAACCGTTACAATGAATCATCAGTAATATTATAATAGGCGAGCAGTTCACCTCTATAAAAAGGCATGAACCGACTAAATTTTTAAAACAAAAACCTACAGCATGAAACTTTTTTATTTTATAGTGTATTTTTCTGATAATTTACATATTTTTTTTATATTTGTCGGCGTGGTCAGTCAATTGCTATAAACAAAAAAATTACTCGTCGTATGGCTTTGAAAACAGTTTTTCTTTGTAAAATGGACCAAAATAAACACTTTCTGTTCTTTTTGACAAAAATTATAAAAATGCTTGGTTTCCGAGATATTTACAATTAAATGTGAAAAAAGTGACGAAATCGACAAACTTTCAGGTTCGTGATCACTCTCGAAAACTCTCGAATTTTTTTCTGCAAGGAGCGTACAAAGATTACGAATTTTTATTGATGCTTAATCAGTGACCTCGAAAACTGATGATGAGATATTTTTAATCCGAACCTGTCTCCTGAAAAAATGTGTCCCCGAAAGGAATAAAAACACACTGTGTAAAATAGGTAAACTAAACTATTTCATACCTTTCTTTGTCCTTACTAGAAGACCTGTGACTGCGGTGCTCCTTATCCTTACTGGATTTCCTGTCTCTGTCCCTATCCCTGTCTTTGTCCTTGTGGCTGTGTTTCGAACTCTTCTTGTCGCGTTCCTTCGAGTTATCCCTCTTGGCCTCGCCGGTGTCCAAGGTGGAACCCTCAGTTAGGCTTTTTATCACTTCCGCGTTATCCGTTTTATCTGTACGATCGTCCTCGACCACTTGTTCGCCTATAAAAATAGACAACAAGATGATTAAAACCCAATATATCCGCTACTGCACTCGTAACACCTACCCTTATGCGTCTTTAAAACGTACTGCCTGTTGCAATTGAGCAACTCCAGTTCTGATTTTTTGATCATGTCCAGTTGGTGTTTGGCCTCGCGCTCCCTCCACATCGCCAGCTCCTGACTTGCGAGGTCGTCGGGAGATAGTCTGACCTACGAACCAGATCGATATTGGTAACATTTTTTAAATGTGCACGTAACGGGATGTTAAATAAGTTCTCACTGTTTTTTGTGAAAAGTAATGCCTTATTTAAAAAAAAATTAGTAAAAAATATGTCACTAAAAGTATTGCCACTACTTTTTCCTGTACGTCTGGAAACGTTTTAATTCCACGTCGAAAAAACGACGTCCTTTGAGGCTATCCAAGAGTCGACCCATTTTTTGGTATCCTCATACGAATGGAAGGGCTGCTCAGCCAGACCATGTGCCATTGATCAGAACAAGTGATAATAGGAAGGGGCAATGTCTAGTGAAAATAGAAGGTGGGGTAGGAAAGGTTACCAGTTCTATTTCATGACAGACCCGGAGACACGACCCGTTTGTATAATCGATGTCTTAAAAAAAAGGTTATGCAAAAAATCGATGTCTAAAAAAAGGCGCAATCAGGAAATATATCTACTTCGTGGCGGACCCAGAGATGGATGCCGGCAGGCAAAAAAAAAAGGACGGAATCAGGAAATGTGGGAAATGTGGAAAATGTTTTCGAAGAAATCACGATTTTTCTCCAACAAAGAAAACCCGGAGAAATGACATATTAACCTGGAGCCCGAAGATGTACCATCAAAACCAGAGGACTCCAGGTCAAACCCAGTGATCTGGCAACCCTAGGTAGGAGTTCCCATTTAAGCGTTTCCAAGTACCAGTTTTGTAACATGTGGCGGAACGTTATCATGCTACAAAATCACTCTGTTGTGTCTCTCCTCATAGCAGCCATTTGCCTTCAATGCTTGGTTCAAACACATCAATTGTAATCGATAGCGAACTTCCGTGATGGTTTCATTTGCTTTGAACAGCTCATAATAAACTACATCCAGCTGATCCTACCAAACGCAGAGCGGAAGCCATGGACATTCGGTTTCACCGATGATGACTTTCCATGCTTAGGATTATCGTAGCATAATCATTTTTCATTACCAGTCACGATATGATGTAAAAGACTTTTCATTTTCTGCGTTGAAGCAGCAGTTCAAACTTAAAATGTCAACTCCTAATATTTCTGCAAGTTCATCTAGCGTCTGACATGAGTTTTCAACAAGTAATGCATCCAATCCTTCATCTTCAAACCTTTTCAGCCAGTGCATTTCTTATATTCAACATCAAAATAATTATTTTTCAAGCGTCTAAACCAAACCTTGCATGTTGTTTTCGGCAAAGCACGGTCGCCGTAATTCTCAATGAGAATTCTGGATGTTTCAGCAGTAGATTTCTCTCGAATAAAGTAGTTTAGTAAAATTCCCCGCAAATGCTTTTTTTTCGGCACGAAATTCGACGTGTTTAACACTATGAAAAAAAAAGTAGTGTATACTTTGGCGAAATAACATACACTGAATTTCAAGCTCGTTTATAGTACTTCTTTATAGGTGCGCCACCATCTTAAAGTACACACCTGTAGAAGAAGAAGTAGTTCTGGTAACGCCATCTGTTGGAAAACAGCGAGCACTTATTCAACGTCTCTACATGTCAAAATTAATGAACCAGTAAAAGTGGGAACTAATTTTGAAGTTGTTTTCTTCGTAAAGAACTTATTTGCTTTTCACAATTTTTTTCTTTTTTAATTGTAGGTTTATCGTTTAATATCGATGGTAAGGTTGAAATTTTTATTGAATTTTCTGCATAACTCGTCCATATTCCGCTTTATTTTTTTCGTTCTCTATACCCAGTATCAACAACCTTCAATATTGACCTAGTTTAGGTGAACTAGACAACATAAATACACCTGATGTGATATGACAACAGATCGCTAGGCTGGCAAGAAACAAATGGCCAACGTTAATTTGACAAAACGTGAATGACTCGATATTACACCGTTTTATTTTATTACATTTATTTAAGTTTCCAGTTTATCAGTTTACGAGGAGGTGTTTTCTGCATGAAGTATTAGTTTTTACTGGAATCAAAACAGTTTAATTCCATAGTAAAGCGCTATTTACCTTACTATTTTGTGAAGAATAAGTGCATAACTTTATAGTTAATTATTTCAGTAAAAAGGAACTTGAATATTCACTCATGTGTTTGTGTGTCTTCATTGTTAAAGAGTGACCCAAAAAACCCCAATTTTTCGCCCGTTTCGTCAACCCCAAGAATTCAATTCAAAAGTGGTCCAAGTGATAGTTTAATGGAGGCGAAATTTCAAGTTGAACATATATTCAATTTTTAGGATATGGCAAGTTAAACTCGTTATTTAATTCATCCACGCCAAGGCGAATCCGACATTTTCGGTGACCTTTTGCGTTATCTTAAAATTCTCAACAAATGCAAGCACCCTTTCATTATATTTTACCAAAAATATAGTACAAGAAGGTTATAAGATTTTCGTGAAAAAATAGCTTGCATTTTTGCTAAATATCTTTGATTTAACGATGTTTTTATACTGAAAACATAGCAAATATTGATGAATTTATGTATCCACTTAAAAGATATAGCAAACACTTAAAGCAGTCACTCGGTTTGGTGAGCAATCAGTTTTTTGGCGAATTCGGGTGCGGCTAAGCCGACGAAAGAGACTTCTCTTAAGAAAATAGTTGCGTACTATTTTACATGATGTTTTCTTAAGTTTGGTATCTAGGTTATGCGCAGTATGAAGGAGTTCATATACCGAATCCAGATATTTGTGACTATCTATTTTTATACGAAAAGAAGTAGATTCGCATACTTAAATATACTTGCTATAAAGATTCGCTTCAAAAATGAATTTATTTGAGAATTTAAAAAAATAATAAAAAAAACGCTAAAAAATATAAAATTAAAAAAAAATAAAAAACCAAGAAAAAAATAAAAAAATTATAAAAATAACAAAAGAAGAAAAACCTAATCTTACATCGAAATTATCCTAGTTCAAAGTCCTTCGGATATAAGGTTTAGAGTATTTATCGAGATTTTGTAAGTCTTCAGTATAAAAATACCGATTAATTGAATATTTTCAGCAAAAATCCTGATTTTTTTTGTAAAATCGACAGTACCTCATTAAAACAAAGTGTTTAGTAAAATCTAATGGTAGATTCATAATGAAAGAAAGATTTTACATAGGAAATGGTACACTACCGATGATGACTTTCCATGTTTAGGATTATCGTAGCATAATCATTTTTCATTACCAGTCACGATATGATGTAAAAGACTTTTCCTTTTCTGCGTTGAAGCAGCAGTTCAAACTTAAAAAGTTGACTGATTTTTTTTGTAAAATCGACAGTACCTCATTAAAACAAAGTGTTTAGTAAAATCTAATGGTAGATTCATAATGAACGAAAGATTTTACATAGGAAATGGTACACTTTGCATATTTGAGAATCTTGAACACAATGAACAAGTGTGCTGAGAATGTTGGATTCATCTTGGCGTGAACAAGCCAACTAACAGGTTCGACAAGCTATTATTTAGACTACTTTTGAATTGAACTCATGAGGTCGACGAAACGGGGGAACTTTTGGGTCATTCTTTTTGAAATTTGAAAAAAACTTGTATATAAATTAAAAAAAATTTCAATAGACTTTAGTGTCACCACTTAGAAATAAACATACATTAAAAAAAAGTTAGAGTAACTGTTTAGTTAAAAAAAAAATAAATTTGAAAACGAAACCAACTTTTAGCGGTGCATTCGACATAAAATAAGATTTTATTTTCATTTACAAAATATAACACTTACCAGTTCGTACGGGTTGATCGACTTCTCGCAGATCCTCCTCCACAATGTCTGGTTCTTCGCGTCCTTAATGTTAAATATAAGACTCCTGTACTTATTCCGATACTTCTGCCCCGTGTCGCCGAAGCACTTGAACAGCTGCGATTCGATTTCCGTCGAAATATTCTTCACCTCGTCTTCAGTCAATTTGAGATCTTCGCTGCTCTTCAACCGGTTCATCAACTGCTCGAACACGGTCTTCTGAACGTTCTCCCTTATATTCTCCTGAGGTTTGGGCTGCGGGGTGGCGGGTTGCTCCGGTGGAGGTTTGGGTTTGGGGGTCTTCACTGGCATCTTTTCTTTGGATACGGGCGCCTTGACGGGTTTCGGTGGGGTGGACTGGGGAGTCTTAAGAGTAAGCGTTGTCTGAACGATTTTTGGCTTGGGCGGAGGCGCCGTTACTGGCGGTTTCGAGATCGGTTGCGGCTGTATTAGCTTAGTCTTCGGTTCTTTCGTGTTTATTTGCTTGCTGATGATTTTGATTCCCGTGACGGTCGCTTTTAAGGGGGGCTTTAGCTGTTGCTGTGGTGGTTTCGGGGAGTGTTTCAGTATGCCGAGGCTGACGCCCTTTTTCTGCACGGCTAGTGAGACCCCTTCGTTGTCCGTGTTCTTCACTAATTTGAGTCTGGACTGGGTGAAATTACCGGCCTGAGAAAATCACAAGTTATGCAGCCAGACAAAAAAAATTGAGAGCAAACATTTTGTTTAAATAAGATGATAGTAATTGTGCAACTCACATCATTCAAAATATTTGCAAAGTTAATGTTGTTTGTAACTATGACTATTGTATATTTAGTTTAATTTATGAGAATATGCTAATTTGCATAAATGCTTGACCTTCAGGGAAAAAATAGTGTTAAAATCACATAAATTATTAACAATTTGTATGGAAAGCGTAATTTTAGCTAATGTTTTGTTTTTAAGTTATTATGAATGAATTTTTTTAAAAGAAAAATAATATTCGCAATACTTTTTAATCTATAAAAAAAACTTGATTAAAAAATGTAAAAAAACTGCCTTAAAATAAACAAATTAATATGAATTAAATGTTTTTAATTTAAAAAAAAAATTATTACAAAAGGGTCGGTAAAATTTTTATTTGTTTTAAGTACTTATTTTGAATTAAACATTTTTTGTGTATATTCTTATATTCATATGTTTATGAATATAAGAATAGACTAAAATAAATGTTTAATTCAAAATAAGTATTTAAAACAAATAAAAATTTTACCGACCCTTTTGTAATAAACATTTTTTTTTAAAAAGGTACAATGCTTGCAAGTAATGTGAAAATATACAAATTAATATAAATTAAAAACATTGAAAATAAGAATACACTAAAAGAAATATTTAATACAAAATAAGAATTTTTTCACATCAAATAAATGTTACTGACTTATTATGTACAGAATTAAAAAAAAAGAAATAAAGCTTTGAACATGTTTTATAAAACTAAAATATGCAAATTAATATAAATTTAAAGACGCACGAAAATAAGACTACACCAAAACAAACATTTAACTCGAAAAAAGCGTTGTTTCACAACAAATAAAAATATTACTGACCTTTGCAGTGACAACTTTACCGCCAGACCTGACCACCTCATAGCCGGGGTGCTCCTTTAACCAATTCTCCAGATTCGCCGCACTCGGCGCTTTATTTCCCGTCAGCATGCTCCCAGTTGCGCGTTCGAAAACGACAACCTAGAAGTCATCGAAAAATTTGAGATATCACCTGAATTCATGCTAAAGCAATACCCTACCCTTTCGATTCCTTGAGCGTGAGCGAGAATGCAAGCTTCGCTACAGTAGATCGAATTCTTTCTGGCCAGTTTCTGACAAACCACACAGGGAACTGTAGTGACACTTTCTACTTTCCTCGACGAACTGCCGGCGCTGTCTGTCGAAGCTCTGGAATTACGCGAGGCCTTCCTAATCCTGCGAGCGGCGGCTTGCGGCCTTTTCAACATCGGATCCTGCGACGAGGTCGTTAGTGCAATGTTTTTATACCACACAACAATTAAAACAAAATTTTAAAATTAATATACCCAATGCACTCATTAATAAATTTCAATTTTGGCTTGAATTAACAATATTTTGGGGTGTACAATGCAATGTGTATGTTGGAATAACAAAAAGCTGTTTATCAAAACAATGTTGTCAAACTCAACAAGCCAGTGACACTATAATGTCACTATAATTCTCTGTGTTAATATAATTTTGACAACTTGACAACAGTGATAAGTCGGCCTCTTCTCTGATTGGTGGCTAAAGAGCGGGAAATTGAAATATGATAGAAAATTTAATATTGCCATAATTTAAATTCAAGAAATATTAGGGGAGAAATAGAGTATGCCACTTCGATGAGTAAATAGGAGCATGGGAACAGGGCCTGCGAAGTTAGCATTGTGGACTAAGGCCTGCGTTTCGTTTGATGCATGTTTAATATCTTTTAAGCGTTCATACTTGTCACTACACCCAAAACAATTTAAAAATGTCGAGCTTTATCTTCGAAATTAATAAAAGTGTTAAACCTTTTCCTGGTTTACGCTGTGATAGGGCAGTAATAAAATGGCGTGTTTGCGAAACGATTTTGTTAGTACTGGAGTATAGTTTTCCCGAAGTCAATTGAAGAACCAATAACTTCAAGGTATGTACCAGGCTCGGTCGCTACACAGCTACTCGGCATTGAAATATTTGAAAAACTTGTTTCCATATTTATTTAGCCATACCGATAAACAGGTCTGATCGAACTAAACGTGGAGATGATAGAAATGTACATGCTCAGCTGAAGAATGCGAGCGTGAGTAAAAGAAAACGATTACAGTTGTATTGGGCTACTGGGCAATAAATCACAGCAGACGACAAGTGGTTCATAAGTTGCCCAGCAGTGCAGTGCAGCAATGCGGAATTTGGTGTGAATCAGGTAATTTTAATTTATTATAGGCACCTTCTATCAATCATTCATATTATAATTGCAAAAGGGAGAAATAAGAGGGATGTTATGTTTACTAATATTATCACAACATGGCATTTTGGAGAACTTTTGAAATGGAACAAAACAAAATTTACCACTAATATAATAAAATTGTTTGAGGACATAAATAATTAAAATATGTTGTTGGCCAAATAAACATATAATAGAAATTTTATACACATTATATACAAATTAATTTAATTAATTTTGTACCTTTAGCAGAAAATTTTTTTTAGGGATGCCTATGAAACTCATTAAATTTTATTACCAGACGTTTTTTTGCATATTCAACTGACTTTGGAAGAACTTTACCTATTAATGTAAAAGACATATTCAAAGACAAACGCATAAAAGAAATCAACTCTTACAGCTGCCGTACTGGGCATTTTTATTATTTTACAACCGAATTTTGAGTTGTTTGAGGAAATATGTACTACTCTGATGATGTCGATAATAATGAACAACTATTATTATTTTGACAGAAGTATGCACCTAAGTAGTCATTATTCAGAAATTATTGAATAGTCAAATGCATCATGCAATATAAGAAACTAAGATGATTATTATGCAGTCAGATTTAAATGGGCTCATTGTACACAAAACTAGAAACAGAAGAAATCATAACATGAAATATTTCAATACTCATCTTAACACCCGATAAAGCAGATATGTTACATTTTTCACTGCTGAACGTACTTATTTGCGGAAGACCACTTTAATCATACATATGTATGCTAACAATCACTTTTTATTTGTAACAAAAGGCGATGGAGGTAAGTTTAATTTGAATATATTTAATAATTTTCAAATTTCTCAACGACACCACTGATTTCGCACGAAAATGTCGAACTCTATAAATACACCAAATTTTTTATAATAAATTTCAATTTTTAATAATATTTCAGTACATGTAGTTTGTTATCTTTATTTGATTATTTCACTTTTCCTTGGAAATTTAAATAAATAAATTATATTTAATACTCTTCCAACGACATGTAATTAATTTATTAGTAATTAAGTGATGTTAAGACTAAACAAAAAGGTCAATTATAGGAAAATTTACCTTGCAAAACAGGCAAATCCACTCCTTCCCTTCAGCCTCCATCTGCTGCCCCATCGCCTTGGTGATATTGACGCACTTGCCGTGGTACCACTCCTCGCAAGTGTCACAGCAGATCATGAACCTGTTGTTGTGGGGCTGGTTACAGATGCACCACAATTTGTTCGGGTCATCTTCCGACTCATCTTCTTCCTCTTCGTCATTGGAGCTGTCCAGCTCATTACCCGAGACGTGGTCGTCGTCTAAGGGTTTATGAACAGGCCTAGAAATTTATATGAATTAGAATAAATGTGTTTTAGGTGTTGGTGTAAGCCCTTACTTGAAAGTTTGCTTGACTTCCTCTTTCTTTTTGTTCCTACTTCTAGTAGTTGGCCTTTCTATCGGAGGTATCACCACTATCCTACCGTCGGGTCTTACGATTTGTGTGCCTTTCTGTATTACATCGTTGGGCTCCTGAAATATGAACCATATGATTTTGTACAAATTAACTTTTGCCGAATATTTAGAAAGTGTTGAAATTTTGGTTTGTGTCTGACATTTCAAAACATACTTGTTGAAAAACTTGTAGCTTACAACAATTTATTTTATTTCCTACTTAATCCTTGAAATTCCATGGAAAACAATATTCAAAATTGTCTGTTAAATTTGTTATTTCCGTGCGTTTATCAAATATATAAACTATTTATTTTTTTGCTATAATTTACTGTTGGATGTTTAATCTTGCCGAATATATGCCGGAATAGTACGAAATAATGTATTTTAATTGATAGTAATGTTTTTTTTTCCAACAAAAGGAGTAAGCTCCTTAATTTTGACCAAAAAAATTCCCTAATTTAAGGAAATTTAACAAATGTATCGGTGGCATATTTATCTAAATAAAATAGTACGCCACTGCTTTACGGTAACAATCATGATATTTTTTGATTCGTCTTTCAATTTTCTACAAATTACTACTCTCTAATGTTTTTACTTAAATGACATGACAAACACTAATCATTCTGTTATTTGTAAATTCAAAATTGATAAATCTGAGTTTCCCATTTTAACTTATTTTGAAAATAAGAATAAGAGAAGTCCAATTTCTCACAAACCTATTTTTTTAAATTGAGGTGAAAAATTTGAACTCGAAACCGGCAGTCTATCGTTTTAAAAAAAAATAAAAAGATTGTGAGAAATTGGACCTTTCTTCTTATTTCTAAAATAAGTTATTCTGTTATTTATTCGAATAAAGAAATTAATAACATAGTCATCATTTTATTTCAGTAAATGCTCAAAAATACCTCTATTTCCACGAATGCAAGCGCAATATCTTTTTAGTAACTGGAGCATCTAAATTTTAGGAAAAGCCCTCAGATTTTGGACAATGTTTACATAAATACATTGCCCAATTTCAAATTATTTCACTTACTAGTTTTTAAATTATTTAAAAAAAATTGGAAACATTTTTTTAAGTTCGACATCTTGTATCTTTTAAACGAAGCATCCTAGAAAAAACTTTATACGAAAGACTCCTCTTAAAATTCACCAAGGAATACGAGGTATCATCTTTGATCACCGTTTGTGAATCACCCTGTATATAACAAAGCATAAATAGGGGACATTTTTATTATCGACTCTAGAAAAATCATTTTCTTTTAATAATATTTGCTTATCTGAGTACTAAATAAGGACAATCTAGATATAGAAGAATGTATTTGGTTTGGGAGAAAATGATGTTATTTTAATCAGATAAAATTTAAAAAATACATTTTAAGACATGTGTTTTTGTTTTTTGATAAATTGTAATAAACTTAACTAAGGAATACAAAATATAAAACCAGCAAATATTATTTTATTTAACATATTATCAGGAATTTTATTATGGGAGTCAATATTTACTCCATGAATAACATTAATTAAGGTGGAATCTAATTAATATATATTCAAGGATATCAAATTAAAAATAAAAACGCTACCATTAAAAAAAATTGGAATCTGATATTTTTCATTTTTGTTTTTTAATATTGACCTTATTTCGATACAGAAATTTAAATTTAGTCAACATAAATGAAAGCTATTAAAATTTGGCCATAAGATAATTTTGGTTGATTAAACTGTTGTACTTTCTTTTAAATTAAAAAATTGGCCAGTATATTTAGGTTGTGCTTTAGATAAGCAAATATTATTAGAAACATTTTTGAGAATCATATAAAAACAATTTCCTTCTAGATGTTAACTGTTAAGTAGTCATTTTCCTTATATACATGGTGAAGCAAATTTTATATTTACAAAAGTATTAACTACTTAAAAATTTAGTTCGAGGTTTATCTGATATGGAATTGACAAACGAATATTCATAAAAAAAATAATATAAGCTTATTAATATGAAGAAAATCTTGAAAAAAATTTTTTTGACCAGTTTGGATACCTAATAGACGAGATATTAATAAAATAATTTTTCACAATTTAGTATGAAATGTTATGAGAATGCAGATTTTTTTGGTCTTTCCACTTAGAATGCGCAACAATTGACAAACAGTTTCCACAGCAACTTGTGTAAATAGGAAACTGATATCTAAGGAACCCTATGACAGCTCATAGAAATCGATTAGGTACTTATAACATACATAATTTATAATAATTTTCCTTCAAACTGCTAACTTAACATCCATATGCGTGATAGCCACAATGCTGCGGTTCTCTACATAGCGCATTATTTGAAATTCGCATGTGTGACATATGATGTATATTTTAGGCTTAGGCAACCAAACAAACAGAATGATCGAACAAGAACAAGCAAACGCCGAGCAAATTCCCGAAATTTCACGTCTTAATGTTTATAAATAAACAAGTTATGAATTTAAAAAAAAAACGGTTCCTTGGGTTAAAATTGTTCTTGGACCATTTTTTTTTTAAATTCGTGAAAAATTACCAGGATTACGAATATCAAAGTGGCTTTAAAAAATATATTCATTCTTCGTAAAGTTATTAACGAAAAACCTTATAAACAAATTACACTATTTGTTTATACGCCGTTTTGAGGAGGTTAGGCTAGAAATTACAATTTCCAATTGCATATCTTGAAAATATAAGTCAAGACGAAACAAATAAGCCCTCATAAGGCCCTTTATTATAACGCTAACAACCGCGTTTTTGCAATTGATAAAATGCTATTTCTAATAAACAAATGCAAAAACTCGTAAACAAATAAATAATTTTTTACCAAATTTTCAGGGTTTCTTAAGCGTAACAAAATACAACTTTTACTGCACTTTAGAGACGATTTATGCTCTTTTCTTCTATTTATAACAAATTCAAATTTCGCTGGTTTTATGCAATTATTTAAACAAATTGTTAATGGATTAATTTAGCAGGTCTCAAATGAAGCGATTTTTGAAAACCTATAAGTACCAACAGCAAGCAAGAACACCTGTTGGAGAGTGCTTTTTAATACAGCTAAAAAACTCCATTTTTGGTAATTTTTACATTATAATCATTGTTTAAACAATGATCTTGTTTTAAACCGATACTTTTTGTGAATTATTATTTCTTTTTGCCTAAACTAATGATTAAACCAAGTTTCAATCTGAAACGAATTTTTGTACAAATTTTTTTTCATTTACTGGGGTAATATTTTTGTGTATGCTCGAAAACGGAACAGAAAGTCAACAATTAACTTACCTGAATGGGGGCCATCTGATTAGACACCACAGCTTGATCAACAGTCATGGGATCCAAAACTCCATCGTTGATGCCCTTGTCGATGGCATTTTGCAATTCTGGATTTGAAACTAAGGACTGAGCGACTTGATACAAGATGTCCTCTGATATCTCATCATTATTCAGATTATCCAACAAAGACGGGTCTATATCTAACCCAGTCGTATCTAGATTCAAATTACCGGTATCCATGTTCTGCGGGTCGGAGTTATTCAAGTCCAGAGGCAGCGCACTGGTGGTAAAAGACTTTGTGTCTTCGTTCATGATTATCGACCGAATGTCTTCGGCGCTAGGTATTACCTCACCAACTTCTGTATTTTCCATTTCGTTGGTCTTGCTATGTTGTCTCTCAGTTCTTTTTGACTGATTTAATTTATCCGACTTGGTATAATCCAATTTGGACTTCTCATCGATGCTTGTACGTTTCGATTTGGATTCTCCGGAGCTTATTCTTCTTTCTTTAGTTTTGCCTTCGGTGTGGTGATGATTTGAATGCTTTTCTTTTTCGGACGACTTACCGTCTACGCTGTTTCTATTGTGTTTGTTGGGAGATTGAGGGTTTTCGGTGCTTGATTTTGATCGGGACTCGCTTGTTATTTTGCCTGGTTTAGTGGGAATTGTTGCTTCGGGTGTGTTGGGGGTTGTAGGTTCCTTTCCACCTACCCTACGGATTATATCGGGAGTCGAAAATAAGGCGAAATCATCTGGAATAGGTTTTGGAATCTTCTTTTCCTTCTTAGGAGGCTTTTTCTCAGGCGGTTTCGCTTCCGTATGCTCAGGTTTTTGTTCCGGGGGCTTCTCTGCAGGTTTTTCTGGAGGTTTTTCTATATGTTTCTCCACGACCTTTTCCACCTTCGTTTCAACCTTTAAAGGTTCTTGTTTAACATCTTTTGTCTCTTTAATTTCCTTATTTTTACTCTTAGGTATAATTTTAAATATCCTTGGAGAAGTTTTACTTTCAGATTTAGTCCGCTTACTTATCCTTTTCAGTGTCTGTTTTGCTTTTAATTCTTCTTCTATGTCGAAATCCGAATCATTCTCATCGTCGTCAACTTCAAAATCAAAATCCTCCTCCTCAAACTCTTCCTCACTTTCTTCTTCTACAACTTCCTTAACGATTTTAGTTTTGGGTTTAGTAGGTTTGGCCCTTTCAGGCCTAAAGATTGGTTTAGAATCTGTTTTTATAATCTTTGCTTTCGATTTAGTTGTAACGGGTGTTGTTACACTCTGACTGTCTCCAACGGTAGAAGTTGGAAGTACGTGAATAGGACTTGGCGAAGCATTGACGACAGTAGGAGCTTCATTATGAATGGTTTTATGTGAGACACTCTGAAGTGGTGGAGGATGTGCAGCTGGTTGTGGAAATGCAACTGTTGTTTTAGTAGTAGAAGTTTGACAACCAGCTGGAGTTATAGTTATAGACTGTATGATTTTAACTTTTGATGGGGCCTTGTGCGGAGTTGTAAGAATTAGCGGGGGAGGTTCCGAACTTATAGTTGGTATTGAATGGTCTGGGTCAGGTCCGTCTAATATACTAAGTGTTTTTACCAATTCATCGTCTTCTTGTGGAGAACTGGATCTCCTGGGTGATGTCAATGGTGTATAGTCGTGATCTAGTTTGAAGTTATATAGATTTCGTGCTACTTCGTCCATTTCAAGTTCAGGTTTGATAATTTCTGAAACAGATATACCTAGATACAGCAGTGATAAAAAAAACTATAACTAAAAATTCATACCTTCCTTAACAGCGTCTGGCATGTATGTTACATTATCAACAGTAATATCAATACCCTGTTTCTCCGATTTATTGATTTTCATAATCTGTATATTTGTGGGACCATTTCTTTGCTCTATAACAAACATTTTAAATTACTGATTGTTAAAAGTGACATTTGTGATATCTTACTCAAGAATGTTTCAACTGTATCTTGATCTGGAGTTACAGTACCATCTTCACCAACAAGCAGCAATAAACTGTCATTCAAATCATCATCTTTAATATCAGTTACCTTAACGACACTATGGGCCATTTTTTGTTTTTTTTTAATCTAAAACAATGCATGTTTGTGAATGTTTGATTTAAAATTGTAAGAAATCTGTCATATCTTTCTAAAATCTAATTTGTTACATTGGATAATTATTTCCTGTAATTTACAAGTTAATGCAGTGCAGGATAAGAAAAATTGAGGTTTAAGAGGTCTTCTCCTTTAAGTTTAAAACAAATAATACAAACAACAAATTTAAGAATAACTCATTTATTGAAACAGATATAATACGATATGACAGATTTCATTATTATATTGATAATGTTAACATGCAAAACAGAAAACCAAGCAGTCTTTATGTTTTTATTTCTTTTATAAGCATAAATATCTAAAAACTAAGTGTAAAATTAACATAATATGGGGGTGAATGATCAATAACAATGACTATAAATAACAATTATGTACCTAAATATAATAATAAAATAATAAAAAAACACGTTCGCCCAATTATTACGGCGAGCCTACAATCAATTACTACACTTGTTTGTTTATTGATCGTCCAGTGGTCACTAATGTCCTACAACCACTTCACTTCCAATATCACATATTCGCTAACCACTTGCAGTCTTCAATTACATTAGAAACATCACAGAATTGAGGGTTTTATCTACTTATAAAACAATTTATTAAATAATGCGTACGCGTCCATTTTGTTAAATGTGCGACACGCTGACAATTGTCAAATTTATGCAGAAGTAAGTTACTTTATCGACAAATTTTTAATTTTATAGCTTCGGTTATCGGCGGAGCAGAATCGAATTAATGAAGCCGACAAATGCTAGATGGGCAATTTTAAGTCTTAGATCAGTGGTTCTTAACAAATGTCGTTTTATGTTAGCTGTGATCACTGATCAGCTATTAACTGATTGTGAACTGAAATCATAGTCCAAAGAGGATTCTTCACGGATTTCTTACCGTGGGATTCTTAGAGTTATTTTGGCAGTGTTTATAAAACAATCGGTCTTCTTGATTTGGGATCGAGGGGGATTATCCCTCTTTATCCTGCATCATTTCTTGTAGGCCTGGACAGCCTTTGTAGGTGGGCCCCATCTGTCGTCTACCCCGACCGCAAATGCGGCCGGTGTAGGTGCTTTGTGGGACCTCCATTTGTCCTGGCTGGGCCCCGCCGGCTAGGGCCCTTTCTTCTGGCGTTTTTCTTGTTTCGCCGGCTCGTCTGTGTAAACCCCGAGGGTTTGTCGGTCATGTTGGATACGTAGTCAACGACTTGTCTGAGGAGGGGATTGTCATGTCTAGCAGTTCGTTCATGGAATATATATAATTTTTAGGAGTTCTGAAGTATTTCAGAGTGCATTTTGATGCGTCCATTATGAACTAATTTCATAATTCTCAATTTCGGCACAAAATAAAGTATTATATAAAAGCATTTCGCAACTGCGAAAATGTTAAAAACCACTGCTTTAGGTTTTATGATTTTAACAAAGACAAAACAGCTAGGCGTAACGAGGTATATAACCAATGTTATTAAGTCTAGGCCTGTTTCTGCGGCTAATGAGAGATATTTGACCAATTCATGAAAGTATTTACTATTTACTATTTAAGTGGCCGAATATTTGATAGTTTGAAAACTGTTACAGAAACAAACCAAATATCTCTATGATTTTAGTACAGTGGCCGAACGTTTGACAACGTCGGACAATTCTTGTGAACACAACAGGCTCTTAAAATTTAGATTAACCATAGATTACCGGATTGACCAAAACCCACAGACAAATGAAAATATCTTTTAACTTCCCTATAATCCCTATGCCATCATCTAACTTAACAATTAAGAATCTGTCATCTGTTAATTCACGATCAATAGGTGTCAAAAATTAAAAAGTCTGAAATTAAAAGTCTACAGTCAAATATGAATTTTAAAAGCTATTTATAACGAGACTAATGGAGTATTAATAAATGGAATTTGATATTGAAAACAGCAATTCAAATAAAAGCGACTGTTACCCATCAGTGACTGAAATACCTTTTATTAATGCAAATGAATTGACCTACAACAAATTCTTTCAAAATTTTATGTTGAAAAATGTCCCTTGTGTTATTAAAAATGTTACGAGTCAATGGCAAGCTTCTCAATTTTGGATAAGAGATGATGAGCCAGATGTTGAGTATTTACTTACAAAGTACGGTCATAATAAAGTAACCATTTATAACTGTAACGAGAGATATTACAATTCCCAAACGACACATGAAAGTGTTTTTGCAGACTATTTGAAATACTGGCAGGACTATAATGAAGACAGTGCATTACCGCTTGCCTACTTAAAGGATTGGCACTTGAAATTGCTGAATCAAAATGATGAATTTTACGAGGTTCCTGAATATTTTGCCTCAGATTGGTTAAATGAGTACTATACTGCATGTTCGAGTGATGACTATAGATTTATTTATATGGGCGTTAAAAATACTTGGTATGTTTATATAAAACAGAACTGAAATGTGTCTAAAATTTGGTATTCTTCAGGACGCCTTTTCATGCTGACGTTTTCACATCGTACAGTTGGTCTGCCAATGTTTGTGGCAGAAAAAAGTGGTTGCTTTTCCCTCCAGGGGAAGAAAACCTTTTGAGGGATGATATGGGTAACTTACCTTACGATGTATCCAATTCGAAAAGTTCTGTAAAATGTTTTGAGATAATACAGGACTCGGGAGAAGCCATTTTTGTACCTTCAGGCTGGTATCACCAAGTTTGGAATTTAAAAGATACCATATCAGTTAACCACAATTGGGTGAATGGTTGTAATATAAAGAAAATGTGTATGTCGATGATGAAAGAGTTAGAAGCTGTCCGTAGGGAGATTGATGATTGTAGAGGCATGGAAGGTTTCGAAGAACACTGCCAAGTAATGCTGAATGCTTCTTTCGGGATGGATTATTATAAATTTTACGAGTTTATCAAATACATAGGCCTGTCAAGAATGGAGATGCTTGAAAATAGAAGGTCTAGGATTCTGTTTCATGGATACAGAATAGGCCAAAATCATATTTTGTTTGATTTAAAAGCTATTCAGAACGTCTTAGAGGCATTTGTGAACTGTGATGATATAAATAGTTTACAGTATTTTAAAAATTTAGATGTGGAACCTCATGTGTTTTTGCAACAAATTGTAAATATTATGGAAAATATATGACTGTATAGAATTATGCTTTTTTTCTTGATGCTGCTAAAATTGTGAAAATTATTATTATGATTCAACACTTTTTTTGCTAATTTGTTGATAACGGAACATTAACTTTTATTATTATTTATTTTTTTGAAGTATTCTATTGACAATGTTTATATGAAATTTTGTTAAGTCTAAAATAAATAGAAACATTGTAGGTATGACTCATACATAATTATTAAAAGAAGAATGGTATCTTGGGGATAATAAAATTAGAAAAACAAAAACAGTTTAAATGTAGCAAATTAAAAGGTTCTGGTTGAAAATAATAATTACTGATAATAAAAAATGGCATCGAATAACACGCGATGTGATATGTAAACGTGTGAGTAATGTATTTTTAATAATCTTATTAAATTGGTAAGGTTTATGACCTTTGCATACTGATAATTACAAACAATTCAGAATCAAGGACTTCTCTGTACGTTGACGCCTTCAGAAAAATAATTTTATAATTTTAACTAATTTCCTTATTGCCCGATGGCGATCCAAACACAATTACCTCATATTTTTTCATTATTTGTTAAACAGTTTTATGAAAAATATTTTTATTACTGATAATAAAAAAATACAGAAATAAATGACGAAGTTTCACAACATTCGGCCAAGGATCTAGGCACTAGGCAGTAGAGGTTTGCTCAATTTTACCATCTTATTTTAGAATGGCACTACTAAAAGTACAGTGACTTAAAATATATTTTATACCGACTAAGAATTTTTTGCAACTTCTTATGAAATGGAATGTAATCTGATTTGATCTAATCTCGTCTAATACCAAACGTACCTACATGTCATGTGTGAATGATTAATTATGTCACTAGCCTATTTTTTCCATCAGCCCATTCATGTTAAGGCTGATTCACGTTAGGAAGAAATTCTCTATTTTTATGCGAAAAAAATAGCGGAAGCAAATGCCGCAAGTTTATAATTGAAATTTTTTTACGAATTACCTACGTTGATTTTGCCAGAACATAATCGGTGCGTTTACATGTCATATAATTCCCTGACCCTGAACTTGAAAATTTCAAGTTTAAATAATATTACATCCTGCGGTACAATTCGTAAGGTCGGAAATTATAAACCATTAAAATGTAGTAGGTAGTACCTACTTAATACTTATTTAAAAAATTAGTTGAGTTTCAGGTTTTAAAATTATCAGATTCTTTATTTCTTTCCTTAACCCGCTACTGCCTTTATTCTATTGGTCAAATAAAATAATTTGACGTAGTAGGTAGTCGAAGATTATCGTGAAAACCAGATATATTGGTTTTAATTAGTACAATCTGTTCGTAAATAATGATAAACGCTTAATCAGCATAAATATCAGAAAAACAAAGCAATAATTAATTTTGTTGAGAATTTTTTAAAATGACGGTATAGGGTATCCCGAAACAACATAGTAGGTATAGACTATAGATATTTTAAGAAGTGGTTGGTTGTTTAGTTTCTTATGTACAGGGTGATCAAAATTGAATTGTGAAGATTGTTGTGGTCTTTGGGTTTTCAATCCAAAGCTTTCGCATGCTATTATTTTCACATTTTCAAACAAGTTTTCAGTAAAGTGATTGCAATGCTGTCTACTGAAAAATCAATGGTGCAAGAAATGCCAAACTTTAATTAAAAGTTTATTTCAGACAAAAGCAGTAGAATGGATTTTCACTGTAAAAATAATGTTGAGTATATTTTATTTATATTTCAATCGTAGGTAGGTGCTTAAAATAAAAAAAAAAATATATTTTATTATTTTTTCAATATTTTGTACCTACCCAAATTTTTCTGCCCTCCCTGGTATGGATGTCAAGAGCCGCCACTGGTTATAAACAAGAGAAAAATAGGTACTTATTATCTACATACAGGGTGGGCCATTAGTGTGAGAAAGTAAAATAACTCCCTTGTTACTCATAATACTGAAAAAAAGTTTATATAAAAGTTGTACAGAATCAAGAAACCTAAACTGTAAAATTAATTTGGAACATACAGGGCTATGAGTAAAAACGGCACACGCCAAATATTACATTTTTTAAATGGAACACCCTGTATATTTTTGAACATATGGGTTTCTGAGAAAATTCTATATATGGCAATGTAAACAGTTCCATATTTTAGTGCGGGGTTGCCAAGTTATGTAGAAAATTCTTCAAATTTTGGAAAAAACACGACCTCGAAGAAGTTGTATTAACTTTTAACTACTAACACTTGGAATAAAATAATTAGACAGAGTTATAGGCAAATGTTAGACAAAGGCTCCTATATTAGCTAATATCGATATTTTATACAGGGCGTGTTTTATAATACGATCATTTTTAGAAAGTTCAAACTTGATTTTCTAAAATTTTTCAAATGGAACACCTTGTATTTTATTGTTTTATTTTATTCACATATAGATTCACTTCAACTTTTATTAAGCATGTTCTAAACCTAAAATTGTTAGTTTTTAAGATATAGCAACATTTCTGAAAAAACTTAATTTTTATTATTTTATAGAATACCAACAAATAAATATTAAGTAATAAAATGAACTCATAATGGAATGATAAATTATGAACAACTGACAAGTTGACAAAATGTGACAGTTTTTTCCAAAGCCATCTCGTGCTACCGAAAATAATAAAAATTAGTTTTTTCAGAAATGTTGCTACATCTTAAAAACTAACAACTTTAGGTGTAGAACGTACCTAATAAAAGTTGAAGTGGACCAATATGTGAATAACATAGAACAATAAAATACAGAGTGTTCCATTTGAAATATTTTAGAAAATCAAGTTTGAACTTTCTAAAAATGATTGTATTATAAAAACTGTCCTATATATCGATATTAGCTAATAAAGCAGTCTTTGTTTTTAACTCTGTCAAATATTTTTGCCCCATGTAAATAAAATACAGGGCGTTCCATTTAAAAAATGTAAAATTTGGAGTGTCCCGCCAAATTTCAAATTAATTTTGTCGTTTAGGTTTCTTAATTCTATACAACTTTTATATAAACTTTTTTCTGTATTATGAATAACAAGGGAGTTATTTTACTTTCTCACACTAATGACCCACAATGTATATAAAAGTATTAATGCAGGTATTAAATATTTTGTTAAAAATTTAAAAAAAAAATTGAAAGAATAGTGCATAATAATTTCGAATTCAACAAATGTTATCCTTAGTGTAAGCCCAATGTCAATGTTAGATCAAAACAATTTAAAATATTATATGTCCATTTGTGGACTGAATTAATGAATCTTACATCCATGTAATATTCGCCTAAGATAATTTTCCAAAACATATAGACTTGCACAATACTTTTTAGGTCAACCATTCGTCGAGTCATGTCATTATTAAATATTACTCTGATACAGAAACCTTGTATCACAACTGGGGCATCCCCGGTTGTTGTAAATTTGTTCTTAGGACTTTCCACATCCTGTTATAGATTTGTTATAAAAATTCGACACCAATTTTTAATTCAGTTGAACTTTTTTTTGTTCACTCTGAAAGGCCTTTTCAAGAACCTAATTTAACTCGCCTACTTCAGCAACGGACTTAAGTGCAGAATACATAAGTGTCGCCCGAAACGTAGTCGAACTGATGGGATTAATTTTGAGATAGCAGCTGAATAAATGAACCTATCTTGTTTTAAGGCGTTTTAATTTATACTGATTGATCGTCAAATCCTACGAAATTGTTCTGTCTAATCTCGTCTCAAGGCGTATTTCGTTTAATTATGTGTTTAGTTTTATCGAAGACAAAAAGCATGATAAATATGTTGACAAAATTTACAGAATGTATTTGATATCTTCCTAATACACTAGTTCGGTTGTCTGATAGTTTTGCAGTTGTGGGCTGGATGTAAAAAAGTTGCTGAAGCGTTTCTTTTGTTGTTTTAACGTATCAATAACAAATACAAATCTGTTTCGTTTAATTTCAAATCGTAAACGAGTTTCAATCGTATTAAAATTTTGCTTTTCACTAAAGTGACGTAAAAAATATGGTTTTAAAATGGAAAATAGATAACCTGACACAATTGGACAGTTTCACTTCATCCCTGAAATACATAAAAAATAGCGCAACTGATGTAGAATGAGATGTAAATGCAGATTACAGGTAAAACACAGCGATTGACACTTTCTCTGCTCCAGTATTTTACTTATTTGTGTGTTTATTTGCTTGATTGTTTATTTATTAGTTTGTTTGTTTGTATGTTTATTTATTTGTTTTGTTTGTCTGTTTATTTATTTGTTTTGTTTGTTTATTTATATGTTTGTTTGTTTGTTTATTTATTTGTATGTTTGTTTGTTTGTTTGTCTGTTTATTTATTTGTTTTGTTTGTCTGTTTATTGGTTTGTCTGTATGTTTGTTTGTTCGTTCGTTCGTTCGTTTTGTCTAGCTTCCCCATAATAAAGCAGCATATAAGTAATTTCAATGAAGAAATACCTGACATTCGGCATTTTTACATGCACATTTAAATTGTGAATTTATAACAATCAAAACTAATTTACTAATTATGAATAAGAGACATTAGTTGACAAGACTGTACTGTTTACTTTTGACGTTTCTGTCTTCTATATCGCGGCTACGTTGAACGAAGAACCAATTTTTTCTTTGATTAAATCCAAGGGCTTGGCAAGTAAGTCCGGTCCTGTAATTTATGTTCAACATAATAATACCTAGGAATGTGTGTCGGTTGTAAATAGTTAGTTGTCCAAGTTTCATTTAATTCCCTGAAGTGGATTTAGATGTTTGAAAAACATATTTTATTTTAAAACTTTGACACCCTGTAGCTAAGGAACCAAGCGAAATCGGACCCATGTTGATATGAAAAAATAATCTTGCTTTTAGGTTAAAAATTTTGCCCCCCGAGCGTTGGCCCATGTTTTCTGACACACCCTGTATAGATACGATGTTATTATAAAGATTGAGTGTTACAGCTACGTATTTCTGACGCCTGCATGATGTTTCCTAAAGTAGGAGTAAGAAGCCATTATTGAAATC